GTGTCTCCAGAGAGGATTAACTGATCCTCAGTTAGACTCACTCTGGATGAGGGTGGTGGCATCTCATGGGCTGGGTGCTTGGATGGGATAAAAGAGGGAAATGGAGAAAGCTAGCTTGGAACTACTATCCGTGTCTCTGCTTCCACGATCTGCTCAGGCGAGCAAGATCCCGCCTCTACATCTTCCCACCATGGGCCGTGCCCTCACAACAAGAGCCCAAGCAACCTTTCCTCCCTTAGGTTGCTTTTGCCAGGTACTTGGTCACAAGATAGGTGACACACCCTAGCCCAGTTCTGGGTGCTGCTGGAGACACACTACATGGATACAGTTTCAGAAAGGTTATTGCTTTCTTGATTAAAAAAAGAACAGACTCAGCCACTGTCTTTTGCCCTTTGATTGTCTGCCCTGAGTGCAGAGCCACGCTGGAAGCAGAAGGGTTGTCCTATTCGCAGGTGCTATTGGCACCCTGCCAATAAATCCCTGCCACTCACTATCCGTTCAATCACCACAGACTTCCTACTGACAGACTCTAGTCTCCACCCAGAGCATTCATCTGTTGAAGGATACTAGAGACCCTGAGAACAGTTTGTAACTAATACGATTCTTTGGTGGGCAGATATCGAAGCTTGCTGGCCTTGGGCAAGACAACTTTAGACATGAGTGATCCCCAGGCACCAGGTGCCCATAGCAGTAACCCACTCTGGAATGTTCCTGTATTGGCTGCCTTCTCCTTCCTGTCTTACTTCCCTGCATCTCTAGAATCATCTCCAAAATAAATTTCTTTAAAAAATGTTTCAGGAGCTCCTTCTAGAACCCAACTATGACATCTTGTGACCATGAGAATGAAAGTCACATACATGAATGGAGAGATGTCTAGGAGCCAAGTTCTCAACAGCAGGCCTGAGCCCTTGTGTCATTCTTGGACTGCCTGTGCTGGGATTATTTGAGAAACACAGTCTGCTTTTGGTAGGACACCATCCTCAGGTTGCCTCAGCACACAGCCAGATGCAGTTTTGAGCGGTGTGAGGAACTTGTGGCTGTCACGTGTTATCATTTGGACATGGCAAGTAACAAGTCTGATACAGCCTTGCGAAGTCTATACACCATGCTAAATTAGACGGCATCAACTCATCACCTAGCCCAGTGAATAAATGTTGAAGTATGTGGTGGGATTCCATGCTGAACTTAAATTTACTCCTTTTTAAAATAACATCAAACTCCATACGTCCATCTTGGACTTCAAAAGCCAGGGGTGGTATCAGGGTCATGCCTTTTGTCACTGAAAGTCAGGCTGGATCCTGTGGCACTTAAATAATGACTGTACCACTCTTGACTTTCTCCTTTCTCTGCTCGGTTCTGTCACTAGTGCCAACACCACACTTCTCCCGGAGCCAATGCTTCTGGCTGCTGAAGCTCATGAACACGACACACCGGGAACACACACCAGTCCTCTGACCTCCAGGCCTTAGTTGGATCTGCTTCCTAGTCATGGAGAGCTTCACTTCACAAGTGGGAAGCTGTGTTGTTTGGGTCCAGAGTGACAGTTAGCCGCTGGCTTGCTATGGGAAGGGTACCCACCAAAGCCTGGCTCATGGCACCACACAGATTAGGAGAAGAATGTTGTGTTGAAACAATCACATTGCATTCAAATACACTCTTGTTTACAATCATAAGGTCAAACTTCAGGGGCTGGAGAGAGAGAGAGAGAGATGGCTGGCTAAGCAGGTTAGGACACTTGGTGCTGTTATAGGGACCTGGGTTTAGTTGCCAACCACCTACATGGTAGCTTACAACCGTCCACAGACATACAAACAAGCAAGCATTCCCACACATAAAATAAGTTTGAAAAGAGATCAAACTGGGTCATATATGAGAAGAAACCTACTCTGTGAACTCAAATAAACACTCCATTTGATATACAACATTCCACTCTGACTTCTTAATTCAAGTTTTTATTAAAATAGCAGTTGAGACACAAGTACTATCAAAACAACACTCATTATTTCCTTTTGTGAGACAAATCCATAAGCACGCAAAAGTTTTCATGAGGCTGAGTGTTGTCACGATCCTGCCCAGGTGAGAAGACTGTGGCTCTGGAAATAGGATGCACTAGTTCCAGCCCCTGGTGTGGGGATGGGGCCCGGATTGTGCTGAGCTGGGCTCTAGACAGCAAGCATGCAGCCTCCCGGGACGCCCAGGGACCCAGCTTAGTCTGCTGTAGGGTGAAACCACATGCAGGGTATAGAAAGCATTGGCCCAAGGGCTCTCGAGGTTCGGGGACTGAAGAGGAAGTGGCACTCGGATGGGGATTTGACCTTAAGCTTGTGGAAGGGAGGCAAAATAGCAGAAGGGGCTTTCTCACAATCGTCCTAGGGTCAGCAGTTCTGATAATGTTTATTTCAATGGGCAGTGGACAGGAAACAGACAAGGTTACAGGGCCTGACTCAAGAATCAAGCCTAAAAGTCAGGCACAGTGGCATATACTTGTAACCCCAGTGTTTGAGAGGCAGAAGCAAGAAGATTGCTTCAAGTTCAAGGCCAGCCTAGCTACATACTGAGACAAAGGCAGATGAAGGCCAGCACGGCAGTCATGCTGTAATTCTAGGATTCAGGAGGCTGAAACTGGAGGATCACAAATTTGAAGCCAGGTTGGAAAATATGGCAAGATCTGCTTTATAAAAAATATATTTAAACCATAATAGACACAACTTTGAGGCTGGGGTTACCAAACTGCTATAAACACAATAGGGCATCAACTCAAAGAGTATATGTGTGGAAGGAGTACATGAAGATGCTGAAATAGCAACTTTTAGTAGATTTATAAGCCACTATTTAATTCTGTAAGGACACTGAAGTTCATTAAATGACAATACAAAATTTACAATATGGCGACAGACCTATTTTAGACACATTTTGCTGCTCAAAGGCATTAAAAAAACTAACCTATAAAATTCAGCAAGACAGAAAGATAATGACACCAGGTGGTAACAACAGCTAAGGTGAAGGTTTACAAACAGATGAGCCTGTTAAGTCCATTTGGTTTGATTAGACACAGACCATATTGACAACTGTCCCTTCACTTGAAAACAAGTTTTGCAAGCCTGCCCTTCCTCCTGAGTTTGACCTACCCTTGGTGATGGAATTCAGAAGGCTCAAAGCAGGGTGGTTGCTTTGGCCTCCAGGTAGGATACCAATGGTGGAGGGCTCAAATCCAGCCAGGCTTAGTGTATGCAGGAAAACTGACCCCATCCCCAACTACATGCCCAGTGGTTAGTTTACGGAGGCTGGGTCTTGCTAGATAGCTCAGGCTGTCTTAAAATTTATAATCCTCCTGAGCCTGCCTCCCAGGTGCTGGGATCACAAGTATGTTCCACCACACCTACTGCCTGCCTTATGTTTTTGTGCTGAACGACCCAGACTACATTGGAGTGGCTCAACTGTTTTGGTAGTTTCTAGTTTTGCAAAGTACTGTTTTCTGAAATTCTGGTCATTAAATATGTCTACCTTAAAGTTGAAGACGTTAATGTCCCTTCTAGGAACATGTGGTGTAAAACCAGTATTTAAGGCAACAAACTTCATTGTAAGAAGTGACCCCAACCTTGCTTTACCAGGTAAGGGACTGCAGATCTGAGGGACAATCAGGAGACTGGCCCCACAGAAGAGATTCTTAATTTTAATATGTCCAGAGAACAGTGTAAGGAGGGAAAACATGTTCTATAATTTAGGATATGTTCAAGAGCCCTTGTTCTGCAGTTGAATGTATGAGAACAGCTTCCCTTAAAGAAATACACACCTGAGCCAAGGCAGGCTTTTTGGTTAAATGATGGGTAGCTTTTGTTTGGCTCTGGAGGTTTCCATGGAAACAGCCTGAGAGATAGAAAAGGCAGCATTACCATATTATCCTTATGCCACCTGATAAAACTGCACACCGATTCATTCATGCTGTCCAGAGCAGAGGCGTCCTATCTGATAAGCTGGACAAAGGCAGGTACTGAGTTCACTAGTCCACTATGAATCTCCTGTTGTCCTGCTGGTTTGACACTTCCAATTAAATTTCTGACGAACACCTCCTCTGTACAGTTCCCTCAGGACTTCTAGTTCAAGCAATGCTTCCACAACCAGAAGCCAAATGAAGCGAAGCATCGCATTGAGCTCCATGGTCATGATTTTAAATTCTACAAGAGCTTCCTGCAGCCGAGGAGATGACTGTGTAGATTATTTATGATCTGTCATGTCACTTTTGGCTAGGCAGAAAGTGGCTGCTTCAGTACTTACTGTACCTGGATGAGCCAGGTGGCACTACCTTCCATTCCCCCCTTATATCTGGATTGTCTGTTTTAATATAATAACTCACTGAACACAACGATCTCATCTGATTTCAGGTAAGTGCTTCAGAAAGGCTGCAAATGCAGCCCTCACTCAAGGATGCATCTGAAGAACAAAACCACCAGCAATGATGAGTCTCAACAAGACAAGAATAGTGTATCTATCACCTTTAGCACCAGGATGAGGACCACAGAGGGCAGGGTGTTGCTGGGCTTGCTCTAAAGTGGATTCTGCAGTTCTGGACCCAAACAGAGCCCACCTAGGATTTCAGTACTCTCAAGAAGAGGAAATCTGAGACATTATTAAAAAGTATCAAAATTGATGATTTGAAAGAGATGAGGTGACATCATTCTTGTTTACAAAACACTGAAAACATTCTTCTTTGGGGGCATTGAGGCCAGCCTTGCTGGACTAAAGGTCTTGGTAAGCTAAAAAGACAGGATGTATTCCCAAGAAGGATACATTTCTCACAGAGAGTGTTTTTTCTTTTCTTCTTCTTCTTTTTTTTTTCTCTACAGTTTTTCAAGACAGGGTTTTTCTGTGTAGCCCTAGCTGTCCTGGAACTTGTTCCATAGACCAGGCTGCTCTTGAACTCAGGGATCTGCTTGTTTCTGCCTCCCCGTGTGCTGGGATTAAAGGCGCGTGCTATCACACCTAGTGAGAGTGGGGTTTTTTTTTGTTTTGTTTTTACAAGACAGGGTTTCTCTGTATTGTTTTGGAGGCTGTTGGTCCAGCCCGGCCTCGAACTCACAGAGATCCGCCTGCCTCTGCCTCCCGAGTGCTGGGATTAAAGGCGTGAGAGTGGTTTTCTAATGGCAATTTGCTCTCCGGATCTGTGTAACACAGTGGTGCCTCAATGAAAAGATCTGCTTGCCCCAGCACATGTGACTGTTCACTCCCCAGGGCAGAGCATCTCCCTGTGTGGCTCTGGTGGACAACCTGAGTGCACACTGAAGTCTCAAAGGAGGGACCAAAGGTCTAGTGAAACGCCGACTTAGAGGTGGGACAGGCGACAAGTGCTGGGCCAGACACAACTCATTGAGAACAAATCCCACATTTCACTGGTGGGGAAACCGGGGCTTCAATGTGTCACACAAGAGCCAGAGAAAAAACTGTGACCAGAAAAGAAGCCTCACAGCTTAGGTGCTTTTCAATCTTAGCACACATCACTCCAGCAACCTTAAAGAAAATGACAAAGTATCAGAAAAATGTTGTCTTGTCACAAGGACTTTGGCAATTCATGGCCTGGTGTGCTTAAGGTTAAACAGAAGACCCGGCCATCTTGTAATAATGCTATGTCCTCACAGCAGGCTCTTTTCCTGAGCACTGGGCAGGCTGTCAGTTGTCACAGCCTCGGTCTCTGTGGTGAGTGTTGCCCTCAGCAGGTGCAGGGTCATCTGATGTGCTGAAGTGACTGCTGTCTTGAGAATCTGTCCCAATACTTTTGGTCTCTGACTGAAGGTGAACAGACACCTGCACTGCTATCTCCTGGCCTTGCTCACTTAGAGAGCCATCATCCGAATCCCCACCAGGTGAGTTACTGCGTCCCAGCTCTGGATTAATCACATAGATGCTACCTTGAGCATCCAAGGCAGGTCTCTCCTTAATTCTCTCTCCCATGTCATCAGGGTCATCCACTCGCACTGCCTCAAACATCTCCTCAACAAAGGCCCGGCAGTTCAGAATAAGGGGCGGGAGAGGGATACTTCTGGCCAGTTCTTCAATGTAGCGGGCAAACTCCATGGTCTTAAACTGGGTGACCTTGGCAAGCTCCAGGGTTTTGGCTGAGGTGATGATGGGGATACGCTTTGCTATCTCAAAGGCCTTCTGGAGTTTTTCAGCCCCCTCAGTCCTGAAGAACTCATTGATGGCCTTCTCGGTCTTTCGGAGATGGGTGCTCATCAGGCATAGCCGAGTGACATTCAGGATGAGTGTGATTGTGAAGGCGATCAGGCAGACAACCATATAGTAGATACTCATGTCTCCAGAAGTGAAGATCACACGGAGGGTAACTGAGTAGGAGGCACGAGTTGGAGAAGTGACGATACAGGTATAGAGCCCACGGTCATCAAAGGCTACATTGGTGATATTTAGGAAGTTATCAGAAACCAACCATTTTCCACCTAATAAATTCAACAGAAATGAAAAAAAATTACAGAGAAGATCAAATGCCGTGCCAATATTCACCTTTTCATAAAACTATTGCAGCTAGTCTGTTAGGCTCTACTGTTTCAATTGTGCTAAAAAAAACAGAAAGAAAGGAAGAAAGAAAGAAAAGCAGACTGCCATGCTTGACAGGATTCCATTAACATAAAACAAGTAATGGAAATTGATCTTCTTGACCATCCTAAGGCCAGCATTTACTTCTCACAGCCAGACACCAAGCATGCATGTAGATCTAAAAGACCAATCTTTCAAAGACATGCTTATCCATGTGTGTAAGACTACACCATACTGCTATGCTACCTATACATTTTCATACCTGAGATGGACAAGTCTCAGAAGTATAGAGAGTCTGTTTATGGGGCGATGGGCTATACACTTTTATCTTTATTGAAATGTTGCTTACTTTTCATCATAAACTCATATGACAATGTACTGAGGTTATTTTTAAGAAGCTGGAGACAGTTCAGTGGGCAAAGGCACTCCTCACTAAGCCTGATGACCTATAGCAGTTGAGCTGAGCAGCAGCATGCTTTCACAGCTCTTTGCTTCCTGACTATGGATGTAATAGAATCAGCTGTTTTGAGCTATTGCCACTGGCTTTCCTGCAACGACAGACTGTAACCTGGAATTGTGAACTATAACAAATCCTTTCTTCCCAAGCACCTTTGTCAAGGTATTTTACTACAGCAACTGGAAAGAGACTAAGGTAACTATACTTTCAGAGCATGGTGCTGGAGAAGCAACCTGGATTTTCTAGGAGAGGACTTAGCACTGACACAAACTCCATGGCTTAGTGAATGGGTATTTGAGAAGGAAAGATCACCTGTCTCTTCTGCTTTAACTTAGTATTAGGAACGAATATCTTCTATGTTTTAGAGTGTTTCTTGAAGTTTAGCTTATGGGGGATTCTGGGAAGGCTTCATCATTTTGGCTTTCATGGTAACTTCTCTTTGAGGTACTTTGTAACTCAAGTATTTATTACAAAGTGCTCTCTCTCTTTATACCTATCCTTTTTTTGTTGTTAAATAATTATACTTCTTTTTGATAGGTATAATACTTCAGACTACCCATCAAACCTAGGGCTTTGTGCATTTTTGGAAAGTGCTCAATCACTGAACTGTATCTCTAACTCCCTTTGAAGCCAGCCCATCTTGGAGAATTATTGCTCAGTATGTCATAACCCCCCAAAGCAGGGTTGAGTCACTGGCTGACTACATCTTACAGGATTACCTCTGTTGTGTAGCCGCCGTCCTTTGGAGTTGTACCAGTAGACATCTCCATACTGATCCATTGTGAGAAGACACTCCAGGGAAACATTTGTTCCCTCTTTGGCTATGATGACATCATCACCAGAGTAGGAACCTGCTGAGAGTTCAAAGCTCGGGAGAAATGATACATTGTAGGAACTGTGATTCGTTCCCAGTGGGGCCACATCTTCCAAAACCAGAACAGCTGGCACAAGAGTGACCACCAGTAAGATGGACAGACGCAGATGCAGCTTCATGGGAAAATCCAAACCAGTCCTCTTTAGCTTGGAAAAATCAAACGTGGCTATGCTGAACAGGATCACAGTGAATGACTTGCTGCTGGTATAAAAGTTTTCCAAAGAAGTGGTCCAAGAGTGCTGAGGATTTCACAACTGAAAGGATGAGTGTGGAGGCCAGCCTAAAAGAAAGCCACACAGTGTTTACCTAACTGAGATTCATCATGGGGTACAGAAATGAATAGACACGAAACCGATTAAGTAACCAATGCTGACAGCGATGATTGCACCAAGTCACAGAGATGGAGAGGCAGTGCCGAGCATAGCACCAGCAGACTGAGTCCAGTCAAACCTTGCTGCCAGTGCTCCCATCTTGTCACGCAGCTTTCTTTGGGCTTCCGCTTTCTCATCTGCCCATTGAAGGGAGGATGAGAGGCTCTCTAAGGATGCTGGTTCTAAATGCTGAGATTCCATTTCACTTGGACAGTTTCTATGCAACAGGGAGCCAATGAGGGCTGAAATATAGTTTCACAATCTTTTATTTCAACCTGCACCACTACCATATGCTATATCAGCATGTAAAGCAACTGATATGTCTTATTCATTACCATTGAGCTCAGAATCCATGTAATAAACTATGTATGCAGATTAAATAATTCAGGGACATCTGAGGTAGATTCTGGTTTTGTTAGGAAAAAACAAAAAAGAAAAAAACTGTGACCTACATGTTTTCAGAATTCTATATAAAAAATTTGTATCTTCTTTACAACTAAGAGACAAAAAGAATATTTAATGGCACATACACTTAGCAAATTTTGAGACTGAACAAAATTGACATCCTAGTTGGCAGAAATCATATACAACTACAAGGAAAGACTATTAGATTTGGAAGAAGAATGAACTATTACTAAAAGCAAAATAAAAGTCTAGGTTGAGCCCAGTTTTTTTCCCCCCAACATAAGGATTCTTTGAGTAGCTTTGTAGACCAGGCTGGGCTCAAATTCATAGAAATCTGCCTGCTTCTGCTTCCCAAGTGCTGGGACCTGGGACTAAAGGCATGTGCCACCACTGCCCTGCTGAGTCCAGGTGTTTATTATTTTCTTCTTGATAATTTGATTCCCCACTTAAAACCACCAGTTTGCAAGGAAAATGTCATTTTACACTTCTATAAATATGTGTCAAGACTCTGCTTTATTTTTTGTCAAAGTCCAATGTAATTAGCTTTGGAGATAATGTTATTTACTTTTATACTCACAGGAAGGCTGCTGCTTGATCACAGAACATAAAAACCAATGGGTCTTTGTATTTTGCCATTACACCCTCAAAGTTTGAATTACAAGTTTTAAAATGTCGTTTAGTTTTCATTAAGCTCTTGAAGGATTGGATGAATAATGACAATAAAAAATCTCAAACTTTAAAATTTAAGGATAGACTATTTAGAATAAAACAAACTTCAGACTTTGGCTCTACAGGATAGATTAAATGTGTGTACTTCCATTTCCTCCTAAAAACCTGCTAAAATGACACAGAAGGAAACAGCATTGGGCATTTAATAAGTGATTCAGCTTAATTTATAGACTTCACAGTGATGACTTGTTAGTTAGGATTATGCTAGAAGTTAATGGGAGAGTCTGATCTAATAACTGAGGTGACAGACACAAACACTGATGAGGACCAGGAGCCAGGCTCTGTGCTAGTATAAGCTTCAAGTTCTTGGTCACTGAAGATGAGCAATATGTGACAGACATGACTGTGTCCTCTTTCTATAAAAGCAGTTCTCATGGTGAGTGTTACAAGTTCTTCCCGGCATATGGACAGGGAGTTCCCAGGCTCATCCGAATTAAACTTCGAAATGTCATTCACTCCATTGCCATACCTTTTACTACTGACTAAAGCAAAATCTTTAAATCCACTCATTTTGTGTATTTATTTTAAAGGGGAAACTCTATACCACTTCTGTGTATAAAATCACCTACATGGTTGGATGTAAAAATGACTCACTCCAGAGTTACTGCCACCTGCTTCAGGCTTAGAGATGGATACCCACTGTCTTTGTAGCCTTGTGATGTGAGGACTGCTGCCAGCCATTGCCTAATGTTGTTTGTCAGAGGAAGGTCTGTTCCCACGCTGTGTTCTCCTCTCACTGCCCTGATCCTACAGCCAATGCCCATTCCACAGGTGAGCCACTCCTCTTGACTACTCCATTCTTTGACCACGTGGATTCTTGGTGTTGGACAAGCATATCCCTTGCGTACCGGTCATTACAATCCCCGAGGCTATCCCTGATTTCATATCAGAACCAAGAATCCAACCCAGTCTCTTTGCTTCCAGAATCAGGATCCAGCATTCTCTGCCTCCTGGGTTTGGTCATGAGATGTACCTCTCATTACAGCTTGTGGCTCTTTCCTGTACACCTCTTGACCAGTGACCCCCTGCTCTTTGCTTGTGCCTTGGCCTTCTAAAAGAGCAGTTCCATTCTTGATCTGCATCCCTCAGATCTCTGCATTGCTTACTGTCTTGGGGAGGCTTTCTGCAGGGAGCACAGCTCCACATTCTGAGTCCTCCTGCATCTGCCCCTTGGGTAGCATCTAGTACAATGCATGTCCTCTGACAGGTTGGCACATAGTATGTGCTCAGTAAAATGTGACTAGATGAGAATCTGGGTCTCCATACTGAAACCCAGTGCTGGTAAAGGCAGAGAGGAAGGAGGTAAAGCAGAACTGGTACAGTCTAGATCTTCCTGGTTTGTATTTTGCTTTCTCTATAAACATGGTGGTGTTCATTTCTGATTTTGAACCAGGTAGCAGCACTTCTAGAGTAATACTGCATTGTTGTTTTTATTTTCAAGGGTACAGACATTTTTTCATTGCAACTTCTTCAGTATCTGGTACTAAAGGAAAAATGTGGAAGTAAAAAAAATTACCAAATTCAGGAATTCAAACCCATCTAAGTATTATCATTACTTGGGAGGCAGAGGCAGGAGGATCTCTGTGAGTTTGAGGACATCCTGGGCTGCAGAGCTAGTTCCAGGACAGCCAGAACTGTTATACAGAGAAACCCTGTCTTGAAAAACAAAAAAACAAACAAAAAAGATCCGATTTGGGCTTGGATTAGCATCCTGGGTAATTCTGAGACAAGGGTCTCTGGACCGACATCAGGCAGCTCCTCTCCTCTCTGCTAGCCTCACTAATGGTTCTCTAGACTGCTAAACACTTCCTTCCACAGAGCTGAGCTGTCACATTCCGTTCTGGCTCTGACCTCCTCTGCCCCAGTGCAACTGAATGCCTGAAATCTGATAAAGTCAGGGTGACAGAGGAGCGGAGTGCAGACTTGAGCCTGGTTTCCTAGATGGGCATTCAGGCCTAGATTCTAACCAGCCCTGTAGTTTTTACAAAGGGCTTAACGTCTGTGTCTTGTCCCCTCATCTTTAAAGTAGGAAAAACAACAGTACCTATTCTTACAGGAGAGTGGCAACTAGAGGTAATTCATGCGACAACACTCATCAAGTGCATTCTAGTTGTTTCTGTTGGTGTTTTTTTAGATGTGCCTATATGCACACCATCTGATAGTTACACCATTAAGCATTTTCACTCAGAATACCACAACAATCTGGGTTGGGAGGCACTGATGAAATCTCAACTTTCAATTCAAAACATCACTTTTCTTATGGTCTCACCACAAATCAGTATTTTTCAATAATGTGAGTCACAAGGGGCACTATATGTCACATTGCCTGTGCCCCATATTTGTGTAGACAAGCTTCCTTATGATCCACTTATCCTGTGGATCCCTTTTCAAGCCCCACTTCTGTTTGGGTCAACCCTGCTACAGGTTAAGTAAGCTAACTGAAACCTTTGTTCTTGGGATTTAGGATGGAGACATTTAGGGTCATTTGAGAAGAACAGGCATTCAGGGGTTGAGACAGTTTGGTTCAGCCTATCTACAATGGACAAGAGGCATGAGGAAAAGAGAAAGCCATGAGAAGATGCAGGAGGTGGAGAAAGAGGCTCATATATGCTGCTTTGGCTTCTACAGAATTCAAGTGGCTGGTACCAATGACTGTTTTTTTCCCTTAAAGAAGTAAACATCTTTATTTGATTTATTAAAAATTAAAACCAAGAATCATTAGAGCTTACCTTGCAAACAAGGAAGCAAATGGGGGACATAGTTAGGTAGGAGAATCATCCATCTTCAATTATTCTCCTTATACTATGGCAGCAGTTCTCAGCTTGTGGGCCTCCATCCTTTTGGGAGTCTAATGTCACTTTCACAGGGGTTGTATAACAGATACCCTGCATATTAGTTACATTATAATTCATAACAGCCGCAAAATTACAGTTATGAAGTAGCAAGAAAATTTTATGCATGGGGTCACCCACAATATGAGAAACTGTATTTTTTTTTTTTTGGTTTTACGAGACAGGGTTTCTCTGTATTGTTTTGGAGGCTGTCGGTCCAGCCTGGCCTCGAACTCACAGAGATCCGCCTGCCTCTGCCTCCCGAGTGCTGGGATTAAAGGCATGCGCCACCACCGCCCGGCCGAGAAACCGTATTAAAGTGTCAACGCATTAGGAAGTTTGAGAACCACTGCACTGCGGGGTGTTTTGAACTAAGTGCCCTGTGGCCAACATTTGTAATCTTTGTTTTATACTGACATAGCCATTTGTGCGGGCTAGGGGTTCACCAACCCTGCCAAACAGGGTCTAGAGAAACACTACAGCTGCCCTGAAGCTGCCCTATGCCAAAAGCAGAGCAGGCTGAACCTGACTTCATGCCAGGAGAAAAGCAGATCTGACAACAGTCCCCAGTGCCCAGTCAGTACCAGCACTGCAGAGCAGTCAGGCCTTGTCATGCCAGCCATGAAGATACAGAACCCACTTGCAGGTGGGAGATGTTGAGCAGCGGGAGAATACAGTGACAAAGTCCGAGGTGACAGCAGAAGGGGAGTGAGGCTTTACATACTCATGGTTTACTCCTCATATGAGATCTTAAGTTAGCTTTGGTGGTTTCAGTGACCATCCAGGGACCATTTCCTTTCCATCAGCAGTGATGATGGAGGTTAGTAACTGTCACTGCTCAGTCCTTGCCCGACTTTCTATCAATTAAGCAGGAACCCATCACAAACAGAAGTACCAATGCTTCAAGTGCTGGTCATGTGAGTCAGACTCTGTCCCATACACTCAGGGATTTACAAACTAGTTTAGAAGCTAAGGGTAATAACGGCTAACTCACACACACACACACACACACACACACACACACACACACACACACACACACACACACACACACGATGGCATCAACAGTGCCGAAGGAAGTGCAACTGTGCTGTGAAAGCAAGAAAAAAGAGGGAGTCATGAATTTCAGGGGTGCGGCCCACTTTTAAACTTGACACTTCCAACACCATGCCTGTTATTCTCAGTGTAGCAGCTGACATGTTAGAATCATGAATAAGCAGAAATGTACATGATTTTACCCTAGAAAACCATTATGAATATTGACTATTATTTTAGAAGTCAGGAAGAGAACGGCCTTCACTGTCATAGCAGACTGCTGGGCTGCTGTTCCTGCCAACTTTGAGTGAAGAAATATTTCCATTCGGCTCTGATTCTCAACAGAAGCAAACAAGGAAGCAATGTGGCCGACTTCCGTTCCGGGGGCTCAGAATTAAGTTGGCTGAAGAAACTGCCGTATTTGGAAATCATTCTGGGATAAGGGGGAGAACACTGGCGCCCAGATGGCAATGTTTTTCACTCCAATTACAGCAGGCTACTAGTGTCTTATTCTCCATAATTAACTGCTCTTTGCTGTATTTACAGCGCAGCCGCTCTGCTCTGCTTTCAGTCACATGTGCAAAGTGGAGGCGCTCCTACAAACTGCCACACAGATGACAAAGTGGCATTCTGAGCTGGCAAGGAGGGAAGCAAGTGGAGAGCAACTTGCATGTACCCTCCATCCACTACAAAGAGCAAACAATTGTGCTGCTTACTGCCAGTGTTGCCATGGGGATCTGTGACATTACAAAGTTCTGGGGCCAAAGAGATGGCCCCGTTGGTATAGACACCCGTTGAGCGAGCCTGAAGACCTGAGTTCCACCCTGGGATCCACACAAAGGTAGAAGGGGAGTTTTGTAATGCTAAAATGATAGGATTATGTAGTTTAGAGGCTAGAAGAATGGGTTCTGGAGTTACAAGTACTCAGTCCTTCACTCTGGGTGAAGCCAGCCTGGAAAAGCCTTTGTTTTCACATCTATTGAATGAGCAGTAATGATCTTGGAATGTCTGGAAGCATGAATGTGGGTACATTATAAATACATGCTGTTGTTATTATTATACTTTGTAGATATTTTCCAGTTAGGTCAAATGTATCTACCCAAATCACAGTCCTTCTATCATCTAAATTGAATCCAACTTCTTGTGATATATCCAAATACTGTCGTTCAAAGAAGGACAAAATCTATTAGGGGACATTTCACTATCCAAGACATAAGCTAAAACTCTAGCTAGCAGCTGTAACTCTTCAGGGGCTGAATATGTAAGCAGCAGTGCATGCATGCATAAACTGCTTGAGGTAGGCATGCTTATAATTTGGCACGATCCTTAGCTGCACCTCTATCACTTGCTGTGCTCTAGGACTCTCTTAGTTTCCATATCTGGAGGCTGATTCCATCACCATCCCTTTCTTGGACTAAAATCATACAATGTTTCCAGTATGTAAGCTTCAATTATCTGTGTCTTACTTTCTGCTGTCTCTAAATAATTTTCAACTTAATGTTCTGGTTCTAGTTGCTCTTTTTGCTTATCACTTCCCTTCCCCTGCGACATCTTCCCATGAAGATTCTACTACTTGCAATTCTCATCTCCTATTATTCAGTAAACCTACTTACCCAAATTCTCCCCCTGCCCTCTTTATTCGGGGTTTCTTTGCTTGGTCAGGTCAGTAAGACTCATCAGTTTCCGTCCAGCTATCTCTGTTTAGAAGCCTGTGAGGGTACACATGCCAGCCTGAAAAACCTCAGCCTTTGACAGAGGCCACTTTCTGGGGAAAGGTGCAACATTTGGAATTCAGATGAGCATCAGTCTGGGAGGAGGAAAGGTGTCCGATAAAAATTTTTGAACTAGTTTTTCATTTTCAGGCTCTGGAAACTGTTTATAAAGAGATCCGAAGAGAAGGAAACAGTCTTGTTGTTGTTGCCTTTTTTTCTTTAGGAAAGGCACTCCAGGGAATTTGATCTATAAATGGCTTTGCAAACTGAACTTTGAGAAAATACCAATTAATCTGTAGTGCTTGTTAAAGATGTTGAGTTCTGGTTTCTCTCAGATGCACATTATAGCTGTATTGATTTACAAATCAAGCTTACATTTCTGTTAACTGTCATGATAATACTGCAATTCAGCAATTCTCACCTGTGGAACAGGGAGTCCTGGGTGTCCCTGAAACAGTTTCATGTCCCTGCTCACAAGTGACAACATTTTTCTAAAGGTTATACAAGGATATCCATACTTCCAGAGAAAATAGGAAGAATCAGAAACCTAGCTGTATTCTAGGAAGCCAAGCTTAGAGAAATTGTATTTTTGAGAAAATGTCTCATGTAGTCCAGACTGGCCTCAGATTTGCACCCCAAGATACATTTGAACCCCTACCTGTATTTCCATTTCCCAAGTGCTGGGATTACAGACACATGCCAGTACTTTCAAGTGGAAAATATTCTTTACAGAAATGTCAGTTGCCATTTAATGAACTTACTAGCTAATTTTTTGAGAGTGATTTTGATTTATTTCTTCTTCTTCTTTTGTTTTTTCTTCTGTGTAGCCTTAGCTGTTCTGGAACTCACTCTGTAGACCACTCAAGAGATCCACCTGCCTCAACCCCCTGGGTGCTGGGATTAAAGGCATGCACCACCACTGCCCAGCCAATTTTGATTTCTTGAGTGGAAATTATTGGTAGTTGTAATCTACATAAACAAAACCATTTGAAATTCTTGGTAAATTTAAGTGCATTGGGTTCCCAAGACCAAAAATATCACAATTGTTGTATATTAATAATCATAATGTATAAAAAGGTAAGACAGTTAGTAGCTGACCAAGATATACTCCTATTCTATACATTTTCCTTTACAAAAGAAAACCAGAGGAAATCCATTTTATACTTTTAGTTTATTTGTTGACCAGACACTTTTGTTTGAGATAGGATGTGATTATGTAGCTCTGGCTGGCTTAGAATTCACAATGTAGCCAAGGCTAGCCTTAACTTGTAATCGTACTTCAAAGGAACAGGCATTAGTAAGGTCCCAGAGTGTGCCAAAATAAAGGAAAATAGTTAAAGGGTTTTAGAAAGTGACAGTTACATCTGGACATTGATATAAGGGATTAAATAGACGGAGGAAGCCTGACTCCTGTTTTCTTTTTTGTTTGTTTGGTTTTAGGTGCTAGGGATCAAACCCCAGGGCATTGCACACAACAGGCACACGCACTATCACTGAGCTATACACCACAAAAGATCTGTACACTTGAAAGCAAGCCTTTGCCTCCCTGGACTTCAGGTGTCCTCATTTTCCCACCAAATTGTGTTTAATGTCTTCCTGGCATTAAACGTCTATTGGCGTTTTGTGCATTCAAACTGCTCAGGGGCAAATGAAGCGACGCACTCAGGGCGCATTAGAGCAACCCTAAAATTACAAATCAAAAGCACGTCACCTTCCTGCTTAGAAACCTTTAATTACTTCCCACCAAGTTCCAAATTAAAAGTCAAACTTCTTGGCACTGACCCGACAAAGACCCAGTGCCCAGGTCTCTGTTCTTGTCTCCCTCCTTCCGTGTGGTCCCCCCCTTCGCTATTCTCTCTTCTTGCAAAGCTCCACTCCTACTCCAGATAGGCAGAAGGCTTCCTCTTTTTCACTTCCCCACCCAGTTCCTGTTCCATCACCTAATTTTAACTTCGATAAAGCACTTAACTACCATCTCTAGATACCGTTGTTTTGATCTCCCCCACCGCCTTTGCAGTGAGCTGAGAGCAGGGTCTTCAGTGGTTTCCCAGTGGGACCCGGTGCGTCGCTGGCCCTCTCTAGTATTCTGTAAACACTTTACGGCGGAATTCCAACACCCACACCAGGCCTTCCCGAAGGGCGGGCAAGCCCGCGCCCACCGCGCTCAGCCCCAAGCATCCCTATCTCTCAGGAAGCTACCTGAGCAGAGTATTCACTCACCGAACCGGGGTCAGCTCCTTCCGCTCCTGCGGATGCTTGACCCGGAAGCACTGCTTGACGGCGACCCCGCCTCCGCGCGGAGGTCAGGAGTACTTCCGTGACGGTCGGAGTGGCGATCGGGCGGCGGTAGCCGCGGTGAGGGGCGGTGTCTGGACTGCGGGGCTTCCTGGTGAGGGCGGCGACGGCTGGGGTTGCTGGGGTCACGGGTTGAAGGGCTGCTGCACTTCCTTCTGTGTTTGGCGTTTTTGTACCCCTAAGGGGCTGGGGAGCTTGTTTACATCAGGCCTGGGGGTGGGGCCTGCGTGTGAAGGTGCAGAGACCGGAGACTGGCCTCGTTAGCCCGGGAGCCGCAGCTGCCCCGACTCCTTGTCGCGCGGAAGGGCTGCAGCGCTGAGCCCCGGCCCGGCTCTCAGCTGGTCGGAGACGCCAGCCACGCTGCATCTGGGTAATGCGGTGGGGACGCGTGTGCACTGAGTGTGTTTATGTCTCGGCTGCAGTCTTCCGGATCTTTCTCTTCCAATCAGGAAAACACAGTGACCACAAGAATACCCGGCAAACATTAAATAGTCCAGTTCTGTATGTCTGGTATGTGTTTGATTTGGTTTACAGGGACGGTGGAGTCGGTCATCACTACACACAAAAATCTCGTGGTCCCAAACCCCTCGCACGTCCTCGGTGCTTATTAAAATGTTTGTTGTGCAAGTGAAAGAGTAGGGGCAACCAGGGTTTGCTAATTTGGAATGTTCTAGTTTCATAAAATTCAGTGAGTTTTTGCAACATGTATATTTGCGTACGTATAGCGCATTTATGGACTTAATTACCATATGTTGGAACTTGGAGAAAGAAGAAAAAAGTAGTTTTAAAAGGTACTTTTTCTTTTTTACACTGCTCAAGAATACCTTCTGAACTTTGTCCAAGCGTTTTGGTGTCTTTATTAGATCAGCCTTTGGACGGAATGGGTCAGAAATTGCCTTCTTCTCTGTCTCCAGAGCTGGGTACCTAGTGGGAATGCAAAAGGTGTTTGCCATGAATGAGTTTTTTTTTCTTTTCTTGAGTTGGCTTGTGTGGCAATTGTTACTTTTATATGGATTATTTTTCTTCATGCATTTTGGGGCTACTAAATATATGTATATCATGTACCCACAAAGTTTAGGTAACAGTGTGTTGTCTTAATGCACCTTGCTAGCCTGTGCTTCCCTTTGCTTCTTCCCTAATATAGTTGTTACTCGAGGTGACCATATATCATGGATCACTGACCTTCCTCCTGTGTTGTTTCCATACCCCTTGTTTTAGTTACTTTCCTGTTACTGTGACAAAATACCCAGATAAAAACAAGGAAGGTCGGTCTTACCCCGAGTCACAGTTTACTTGGCCATAATGGCAGGAAGGTCACATAGGAAGCTGGTCATATTGCCTCCACGGTTAAGAAACAGAGAGCAGCAGTAAATGCTTGTGATCAGCCCTCTTTCTCCTGTTTATACAGTTCAGGATCCCAACCCGAGAAATTGCAACACCCACAGCAGGTGGTCTTCCCACATCGGTTAATCTCATCAAGATAACCCCCACAGATGTGCCCAGCGGACTCTGGTGGTTTTAAAGCTTGTCAATTTGAGATTGACCACCACACCATTGAATTCGTTCTTTAGTTGGCATTTTTTTATTTGTTAAAATCTTAAGTGTCTTGAAGGTGGATGTTGTGAACACAAATGTGTCCAGGGTCTGATCAGATAGCTATACAAGAGTAATATAAATCTGGAGATAGTAGAGAATGAGAGAATACCCTTCATCCAAAAGGGCTCAACAGCCATTTGGCACCAATTAGTTATTGCCTAGTCTGATGACCCCAGTTGGCTACCTCTCACTTTCACAAGGGGTATTGGAAACTTCTATTTTTTTTTCCTATGGAAGATGAAACTTTAAATGGTAGTAACTAATTAAAAAAAAAAAACCCTGTTTAAACAGTGTAGGCCAATTAAAAACATCTGAAGCTATAGTTAGCTGACAAATTTCCAGTTTGTGAGCACTGCTCTAGGTTTATTTTAGGTGCACTTTATGAATCATTCTCTGCTTATAATGTATTCTCTGTTCTTTAAGTTTTGTGGTGTTTTTGTGTGTATTTGTGTGTGTGTGTGTGTATGTGTATGTATCTGTGTGTTTGTTTGAGACAGGGTCTCACAATGTAGTTCTGTCTGTCCTAAAACTAACAATGTAGACCAGTCTGACCTTGAACTCTCAGAGGTCTGTCTGCCTTTGCTTACCAAGTGCTGGGGTTAAAGGCATGCACTAAGTATTTTTTTGCATATGCTTCAATTATTGTGCTATATCTTTCCTTGTTAATTTCCTTTTGTGCTATATGCCTTCCTTGTTAATTTATTTTTTAGTGCATTAAAAGCATGACAGCATGAGTTGGATTTATCTTGAACTTAGTATATACCTGAATAAAACATTTGTCAGCATACCTGGGGTGTGTGTTGTGTGTGTGTGTGTTCCTTAGTGATAACTAGTTATTCTGGGAACTAGTATTTCCTAGTAACATGTTAGCTTTAATTGCCAAAGAGCTGTACTTTTGGAAGGAATTGAATTGGATAACATTGCTATTCCAAAGCTAGCCTAAGGGGCCAGTGGATGCATTTAGGGAATAGAACTCTTACCTAGCATGCATGAGGTCCTGGGTTTGATCCAAGCGGGAGAATAAATGAAATAAAACAGTGGAATTCAATTATGCTTTAGTTATATCAGATGGTCTAACTATCAAAACCATGTTTGGAATATTTACAAGGAATATTAAAAAATAGAAAGCTGATCTGACAAAGTGTTACTTGATGATTTAAATAGTTTCTGAAAAAAACTGATACATGCTTAATGATAAAATTTTGAAGGACAATGTAGTAAAAGGAAAGACTGATAATGGTCTTTATCAAAGTGAAAAAATTTCTTGGTAGAAGACCCTACGAAAATAATGAAAAAGCGGGCGTGGTGCCTCATGTCTGTTCCAGCACTTGGAAGTTTGAGGCAGGAGGATTGCCATAAGCTAGTGGCCAGCAAAGAGGGAGATCTGTCTGAAAAGGCATAACAAAATGAGACAATGAAAATAAGCTTTAGACTAGGATGATCTTGAACCTAGATATTAAGTGCTTCAAAACGCAACAGAAAATGACAGAGCAACCTAACTAAAAAAATGTGTCAAAGATGTAACTAGATGTTTCTCGGAAGAGAATATTTAGATAGCAAATAAGCACCTGAAAAGATGGTCAGTGTCTAGTCACTGAATAATGTAACATAGAAATCACAGTGAGCTACCACTACATACTTATTCAAGTGGCTCACATTAGGAGAAAACATCTGGTCAGAATGCAGAAATTTTTGGTTAATTTATACTACTCCGGAAAAGATGGCAGTTACATATAAAATGAAGCATGGTCTTACCATATAACCCATATTTCACCTAAAACTAAGTATGGACTTACCATATGACCCATATTACCAATAAAGTAGTTGTCATTTGTTCCAGAGAAAAAGCTTATGTTCACATAAAATCCTGTACGTGAACTTTGAAATTTGTTTTAGTTGTGCAGTAATCTCATGTTGGAAACTGCAGATTACCTGGAATGGGCACATTCATTGTGATCATGTATATATACAGTTGTGTACTGAGAAAGTGGAAGGGACTTTTGCTACAACCACAGTGGAAAGTAGGGACTTAGGCTGAGTGAAAAAGTCACTGCAAAGGTAGTCTGCATGCTTCAATGTATAGACTATGGATTGAAATAAATGTGGGAGGAGTCTGGCTACAGAAAGGACGGCACAGGGATTCTTAGGATTGAATTGTGCTTTCCCTGGAGAGTTAGGCAGTTGACGTGCTGTATCTGGGACTCAGCATTCATAGACTTAACGAATCGTAAGTGGAAACAGTTGGAAAAGTTGCATCTGTACTAAACCTATATGGACTTGCTGTTGTTCTTAAGACAGTTTAAAGTCATTTACATTCATTGCATATGGGTTAGACATGACAAATGAAGTGGGGGTAACAGAGCACGAGGATGTGCCTTGGTGGCATGCAGACACTGCCCATTTCATAGAAGGGACGTGACCACTGCAGAGTGTGTTGTCTGCAGGGTTCCTGCAGCCAATTCCCTGCAGATATCAAGGAACAGGTGTGTACGTGGTAACATTTTATATAAATAACGTACACATATATGGGCAGATGTAAAAAGTGTAAAATTGGAAGGACACTGGTGAATTGTAACAATGTCAGGTATATAGGATCTCTTTGTGTTATTGTATATGAATCTGAAAGTCTCAACATTAAGCAGATAGTTTATACTAAAGAAGTCAATATCAGTACAAGTAGATAGTGTGTACAAAAGAAGTCAATATCAGTAGATTCTCATTGGGCTTTTGTTTCAGCAGGTGATGTTCTAGCCATGTCAGATAAAGATGCTACAGAAACCTCAGCGGTAACCGAAGCAGCCCCAATCCTTAAAGATGGGAACTGTGAGTCAGCCGAGAAGCCAGAGAATAAGTCTCAGCCTGTAGCATCCACTCGGAAAAGACCAGAGACCAATCCTTCCAGAGACCTTGAGGCTTCCCAGATTCCTGCTCAGGTGCCACAGGATGCAGCCAAAGTAACAGTCTATTACAATTTTGGGATTTAAAAATGCAAGCCTTAAAAGGGACATGGTAGCAATAATAATTTATAGTGGCACTTCCTTCTTTTTACAGCCATAAAGTAACAGCTTTCTGAGTTCTAGAAATACCTTTATCAGTGATTGCATTTGCTGCAGGGTATTTATGTGCTGATGGTGTTCACCTGTCGGTCAGGCAGTATTTATTTACCCAGGTCACAGATTTACCCACCTGTGCTTGTCTAATGATTCCATACCTTGTCTGGGACTTCTGAGTTCCTCTAATTTTCCTGTTTTCTTTTGTCTTGTTTTTGCTCTCTTTGGAACAAATAGGAGACTGTGTCTAAAGATGCACCCCAGACTGGATGGGGCTACTGGGGCAGCTGGGGCAAGTCCCTGCTCTCCTCAGCCTCAGCTACGGTAGCCACAGTAGGTAAGACCGTTTGTTGGTCATGTCCTGGTATACTGGTGCTCATACTATGTTCTACTAGGATGTTGAAGTCTAGGGTTAATTTAAACCTACGTTTTAGGATGTTAAATCAGTGGGATTTTTGTTTTTTGGTAAAGAGATAATGACAAGAATACATATTAAAATAATGTGCCTTTGGGACCATAGTTTTAGAAATATTGCAGGTTTGAGTTTTTGTTTGTTTGTTTGATTCTTCAGTTTTCTTAACAACACAGAGCACACAAATGTTAATTGTTTTTCTCATTAGGACAAGGTATTTCAAATGTCATCGAGAAGGCAGAGACTTCTCTTGGAATTCCTAGCCCCACTGAAATTTCAACTGAAGTCAAGCAAGCAGCAGGTCAGTACATGTGCTCGAGGTTTTGGTAGATATGGGCAGTTCAGTTCATTTTCAGCACTAACACTTAGTAATAAAACTAATTCAGTACCTGACACTCAGGGTATCTTGAGACTGTGAGGAAGAGGGTTGGAATCTTGAGCGCTAGCTGCATCTCCCAAAATCATTCATGTGTCTGTTTACTGCACTTTGCATGGACGGAGTTATGCTATTTTGTTTGTGATCTAACAAATAAAGCTTCCCTGAAGATCAGAGTGCAGAGCTAAGCCACTAGTTAGCTATGGAGGCCAGGCAGTGGTGGCACATACCTTTAATTCCAGCACTTGGGAAGCAGAGGTAGATGGATCACTGTGAGTTCAAGGCCACCCTAGACTACATGAGATTGATCCAGTCTAAAAGAGAAACAGAGCCAGGTGGTGGTGGTTCAAATCTTTAATCCCAGTACTTGGGAGTACAACTTTAATCCCAGCATCAGGGAGGTAGAGACAGGAGTGATATGGCTGGATGGAGAGAGGAATATAAGGCAGGAGGAGACAGGAGCTCATTGCATTAGTCTGAGGATTCCTAGACAGGATCTCCCTTTGGTCTGAGGATCCAGTAGAGGGAAGAACTAGTGGCTGGCTATTCTGCCTCTCTGATCTTTTAGCATTTACCCCTATATCTGACTTGGGTTTTTATTATTAAGACTGATTAGAATTCTGGATACATCAAGTAATTCAGAGGATTGGTAAACATTCAACAGTAAGACATAGACTGTAAGTGCTCGGTGTTTTGCTTGCCATAATTAGGTTTATCATTATTAAGAATTAGCTAAGTTTGAGTAAGTCATGGTAAGACAAAAAGATTTTAGTGTGTTAGCTTTTTGTTTTCACTTGGATTTTTTATGAAGGTGAAGCTTTATTCTGCTTTGTCTGGTTCAAAGGGAAACCTGTAGTCACTCAGACCCAAAGAATACAATTATCACTAGGGAGCAGGAGGGTCAGGGGCTGGAACAGAGTTTTAAGACTGGGTTTACGTCTGTCCTTGGGCCTTATTGTGTCTCACTATTACTTTGCTTATTTATACCACTCTTCCTTCCCTTGAAGCCACCTGGCTCACTTTGTTTTCTCCAGCTCTACCTTCTGGCATACATGACTAGCTGGCACAGTTATTCCCACTTAGGACTTCCTTGGAGTAAGAATTAGATTGGCACTAAAATTAGGTCACTTGACTGCAGCTTAGTTATGGCCAGAAGACAAGTTCATGTTACACATACACGGCCCCACAGGCTTCTGCGTGTGAATTTGAGGTGCTGTTCATAGTTAGCGTGCTTGCCTAGACTGAGTCTGGAGTAACCTTTACTCAAAGACTTTGTTTCAGGCCCAGCTCTTCTGGGGCTCTATCCACTTTCCAGGTACTTAATGTGTCTGCTTGGTAGTCAAGTTTCTTAGCCTCGTGTGAACCATAGGGATTGTTTAGCTTACTGCTCCAAGGCAGGTTTTTTTTTTTCCAGCCTTGAGGAGTCCCCTTGTGCCTGTATACTCAATGCTGAGCAGTGCAGTATTTATGGAAGGACACTCAGGCATGTGTGTAGAGGCTCAGAATTCTGGCCTGCCTCTATACTCTCCAGTCTTGCAGATTCCCCCAATCCTTTCTGTCTCTTGTCTCTGCCTTTGCCTTCCTGGGTGGTAGTTGGGAAGTTCTCTTGGGTAGCAAGCCAACTCAGTCACAGCAGTCACTTTATCTCTCTTTTCTGTTGCTTCAAACTCTCCTTCTTGTATGACTCTGAAAATTGGTTCTAATCTCTTGTGCAGTTTTGTAGCTGCCATGGTAGGAGGACAGGCCCAACAGCAATTAATACATTGTAACTGGCAGCCAAAGCCGGCAGTTAATACATTGTAAATGGAAGCCAAAGCGGCCAGGCTATCTGGTAGCCAGTCTGTAAACTGCTTGCTATGGCATGAGGACCTGAGTTCCACTCCCAGAACCTGTGTGATAAAAAGTTGTACTACTACTTTTGGAAAGGCGGAGACGGGAAAGCTGTCTGGGGCCTGATCAGTGAGTCCTGGGTCCCAGTGAGAGGGACTGTCTCAGAAAAAATGCTTTCTTAAAGAACAGTTAGGGGTAACCTCTGCCTTCACATACATGCATACACACAGGTACTACACATGCATGAACACCAAATCAAACCCCTTAGCCCTCAAAGCTGATCTCTTACAGGAGTCCCCCTCCCCCGTGTCCGTCCCCCCCCCGAGATAAGGTTTCTCTATATAATAATCCTGGCTGTTCTGGAACTCGATCTGTAGACCAGGCTGCATCTGCTTCTGGAGTACTGGGATTAATGGCGTGTGCTACCACCGCCTGACCTCTTACAGAGTTTTGAAAGTTAATAAAATGGAACATTGTTTTTGAGACATGGCCTCCTTTGTAATGTAGGCCACTAAAGAGCATTGTTTTCTAGGACAAAGTGAGTTGTAGTTTAACTGTATAGTTTTATGTTTGGATGTTTGGAGAGGTAGATATGTTTATGTTATGTAATCAATAGAACACTGATGGGTACTTCCCTGGATCTATATACTTGAAATATAAGAATATTTTATTACCAAAAAGATTCATGTAACTCTTCTCCCTGGTCAATCACTTGTCTGTTTTCCAGTGCTGAATAGTTGTCCCTTGTCCATAAGTTTGTGTCTCTGAGATTATTCAGTACATAGTCTGATTTCACAATAACCTTTAGTTTGTTCAAGACTTGACTTTATTTTTGAAATGAAATAAGTGAAAAAAAAGCTGCCTACTTTAGCTTTCATTTTAACATAGACAGATGTTTCAAAATAAATACAGAAAGGCCTGAGGCTTTGTGTGGAGAAACAGGGTCTAATTTGGAAACAAACCAAAACAAAAAATAACAACACATATTTGCTATTAAAGCAATTAATGATTCTTTCATGTTTACAAACCTTCTCTGTTTCAGGAGAAACAAATGCCAGTGAGAATGAAAGCTCACCAGTGGCTGGGCCTTTTGGGATGCTCTCCACCATCTCAACAGCAGTGCAGAGCACGGTGAGCAAGAAGTGTACGAGCCTCCCCTGTATCAGTATGATGGGCTGTGTGCCTATCTCCCTGTCTTGGGATGCGTGAGTACTGTTGCTCCTAAGGGAGTCCAGATCACTGAGGCTAGAGTAAGAACCGGAGAAATGGAGTGTGAGTTGATGATTTCAGGGACTGGCAAGTCTTGATTAGTGTCTTTAGGGAATGTTTCTGCTTTGCAAGGCTAGCTCTCTTATAACTTGACCTTGTAAGCAGATGGGACATTTGATCTTTTTGATGGGCATTTGCTAAAGTACAGATGATGTGAGTGTTTAAAAAGGATAGTGTAGGGCCCTTAATGTCTTCCTACATGAGGGTAGGTGGCTAGTATTTTTGATTTTTTTTTTTACTTTAAACTTTTTTTTTTGAGACAGGGTCTTGCATTGTAGCCCAGACAGCCTCCAGTATGAAGTCACCCTGCTTTCGCTCCCCAGTATAGGGATTGCAGGCATGCCTTACTATGCTTAACCCTACTGTAACTTTTTGAAATATGGCAGCACATAGAAAATGACATCATATGTGCTGAGTTTGAATTTTCATAACATACTACTTTCAACCATCCTAAGAAACCCCTAAGTCCATTCTTTTCCTTTTTGAGGCATGTGTATCTGTAATACATCCACGTTGCAGCTTTGTTGTATTTGGAGTGTGACTCGGTCACATTTTATTGCTCCTACCATTGGTAAACAGGCTCCGGTAAGCTGTTACAGAGTGTTGCATTGCACACCCTTATACATGTCTTCTAGTACATCTCTGCACACATTTCTCTTGGGTGTGTAACTATGAGTGGGTTGCTGGGTAATGAAATTACAGTACATACTGACCCGCCCTTTCCCAAAGTGGTTCTACCTGTGTGCATTTGTGTGAGTGGCGAATGATTGCTTCAGCTGCTTCTCAGGCTGCCCAGTGCTTGGTAGTGTTGGCTTCTTTTTTTCTCTCCTGGTACTGGGATTGAGCCTAGGGCCTCACACATGGCAAATACTCCACCACTAAACTTAGCAATACATCCCTAGCTGCCTTTTTCTTTTTGTTCTGAGGAGGGTTCTCATCATTTGCCCAGACTGGCCAGAGTTTACTGGATGTTCCTTTGCTGTACCTGGACTTTCTCCTCCTTTAGCCTCCTGAGTAGCTGGGACTGTAGACCTGCATTGCCAGATCCACACTGTTCAGCCATTACTGAGTAGTCAAATGGTAAACCCTCTCAGTGTTGTTGTAATGGAGTTTTACGGCTTCCTTAGGGCAAGAGCGTTATCAGTGGGGGTTTGGATGCCTTGGAATTCATTGGAAAGAAGACAATGGATGTCATAGCAGAAGGGGACCCTGGATTTAAAAGAACCAAGGGCCTGATGACCCGATCTACACTGTCACAGGTACTGTTTCCTTCACCTGTTAATTCCTGCTAACTTGGGAACCTTGTTAGTGTTTTTTTTTTGAATCCTTTGAGGTTGTGGGTGGGCAGTGAGAGCTCTAGTACATAGAGGAGTTCCAGCTGTTTGTCCCTCCATGACCCTTTTGCAGTACCCTCCTGTCAGCAGAGTGGAATGCTAAACCCTGTCAGAGCTGTTAGATTAATTTTTAAACCACCTGCAGAACAGCACCTGGTGTCTTGGGTATTATTTAGCTGTCTAGCATAAGTAAGATTCTTTGTGACCACTTTATTCCTGCTGTTTCCCCCAACTTCTTGGATTTGAACTGCAAAGCCAGGATTGAAGGGACCATGCTCTGGATGGAGCCCGGGTGCTGTGCTCTCTTCTGCTCTGTAATCTCACTCTTGAGCTCTCGTTATTTGGTGCAGTGCAATGCTTCCATCTCTTTTTAGGTTTTACGAGAGGTGAAGGACAAAGAAGAGCAGTCGCCCTCCAATGAGGTAACCATGGAAACAGACAAGAAAACTCATTATGGGCTACTCTTTGATGAGTTTCAAGGCCTTTCACATCTAGAAGCTCTGGAGATGCTTTCCCGAGAAAGTGAAATTAAGGTAATTCCTAACTCCTAACCCTTCCTAAAAAAGTCCTCACACAAGAGAATGCTGCAGATGCTTTTGTGTTGTACATTTGGAAGGAGAGATATTTTTGGTGGAGGCTTGAGACTTTGGAAGTGCCTACACAGCAAGCAGAAACTGTGTATGAACTAAGTGCCAGAAAGATTCAAGGGTGATTGTCCTACTTATGTAGAAAGGTCAGAGTTAAAAAAGAGCTCTTAACACATTTGTCATTTTCCGTCATCTGTCTGTCTGTTTGTATTTATCTATTTTCTGCATTCTCTTTGGCTTTAACTGCTAAAAAACTTACTGACTTAAGCTGCCAGTTTGTATACAGTTAACTATTGGCTTTTAGTTGGTTCAAGGCTTTGTGTGTGTGTAAACAGGACCTTACTGTGTAGCCCTAACCATTCTGAATTTTCTGTAGACTAGACTGGCCTCAAATTCACTGAGGTCTGATTGATTGTGCTTCCTGAGTGTTGGGATTAAAGGTGGACATCTTCTTACCTAGATCAGTATTTATTTGTGTATGTATATGCCCTGTGCAGCAGGTTCCCATGGATGCCAAGAGAGGATACCAGATCCCTGGAGCAGGGATTGTAGGTGATAGTGAGCAGCATGGTGTGGGTGTTGGGATCTAAACTCAGGACCTCTGGAAGAGAAGCAAGTACTCTTAACTGCTGAGCCATCTCTTCAGCCCAACTGAAGACTGTTTCATTTATCTTTAATTTCTAAGCTGCTGTTAAACACTAATAGCTTTCAGATATCTCTAGCCCATGTTACTTTGCAAAGTACAGATCCTCTCAACCTTCCATTCTATAGGAATTAGCTTTTTGAATTAAAATTCTTATTTTTAATGATTTATTTATTCTTATTTTATGTGCACTGGTGTTTTGCCTGCATGGGTGTCTGTGTGAGGGTGTCAGATTCCCTGGGACCAGAGTTACAGAAATTGTGAGCTGCCATATGGGTGCTGGGAATTGAATCTGGGTCCTCTAGAAGGCCAGCTGGTGCTCTTAACCAATGAGCCATCTCTCCATCTCCAAGTTAAAATTTTTAAGGAATGGGAGTTGGCCACGGTAACACAAGCCTGTAGTCCCAATTCTCAGGAGGCTGAGGCAGGAGACTCGAGAGTTCAGGCCTAGTCTGGGCTGCATGGTGAGATGTTGCTCCCACTTCCTCTCCAGAGCAGCTTGTGCTGACTGCTTAGTTTATAGTTTAGATTTCATCTGACCTGTGAACTCACCTCTATTTGAGATTCGTTTAGTTTTCCCACACATTTTCACTGTCTCATATCTATTTAGGTGAAATCTATCCTTAGTTCTCTGAGTGGAGAAGAATTACAGACCACAAGACTTGAGCTAGAACAGCTCAAAGAAGCGTTTTCCCTTGCAGAGTTCTGTGAGGACGAGGAGGAGGAGAGACAAGGTAACGAGGCTTCTGCACCGAGTGGGTGGCTCCCTGGCGACTCGGCGACGCCCTTGAAGTCAGTCGCTGACGGGATCGTACTTTTCCTACAGAATCTCCATGCCTTCCCTCACCAGGGCTTGCCCACCCTCTGCTGTGGGCCCTGCTGCTTCCCTGAGCCATCTGCCACACAGCTCTGTCTGTGCTCCTGCTGGAGAGCTGCTCCTGTCAGGTTCTTTTCCTGTTGTGACTGGTCACCACCGTGACCTTCCCGCTGGTTAGACACTTCATCCATGCCTCTCCCGCTTCTCTAACCCCTGACTCCATCTTGAAGCAGGCAAGGCAGTTGTCACCCAGACTGTGGGTGATCCTTTGGCCTTTTTCAAGTTTACAATTTAATGTCTGTGTATGTTAGGGAATGTAAATGTTGAAACTACTCAGTTTTGCAAAATTAGCAGGAAATATGGTTTATTTATTGTGTAGTTTCCGGGCAAGGGCATCTTAATCTCTGATCAGAACGGTTTTACTTGGATATTTCAGTTGAAAATACTTCCAAGATTAAGAAAGTAGAGTTTAATGACTATTTTTGATGAAGCAAGCAGTTAGAAACATTGAAGTTGAATGTAAAGATCCCTTCAGGGGGAGCCTGCTGCCTGTGTGGCAGGTTAAGCTGGTGGTTTATGAAGTGTGGTGTGGAGATTCTGTGTCCCTGTCACCTCTCAAGGAGTGAGGCCTGCATAGCACTGTCGAAATGGAATAGAACCTCCCTCCAAAGAGTATTAGTTTAGCTTTTCCTGTTATAACACCTGGATGATGAAGAATGGCAGCAGGTGAAGCTGGTGCTGCCACATTGTGGCTGTCAGAGTGGTAGCACTGGCTCACCCGCTGTGTCGCATCTTCACTGCTATACATTCAGAGTTACAAGAGAAGGGCCCATTTCACTGAGCCTTCAGTTGGGGGAAATGGTATAAATTATCAGTGTTGTCAGATCTCGACTCTAGAGTGCACTCCTGTATTCTGTGCATTGGACACTGAAGGGTGGCTGTCGTCTCAGAAGAGCCTGTTGTGTTGAGTTTGAGCTGAACCCTCTCCTGACATAGAAGATGTTTTCACTTAGAAGTCTGAACAGCTGCATAGGCCATTCAGAAGGGAGTAGTTGGTGGAGCATGCCTGTAACCCCAGTACTTGGGAGGCAAAGGCAAGAGTAATGCAGTGAGTTCCAGGCCAGCCAACCTACCAAACACAAAGCAAAAAGTGTAATAACATCGCTGGAGAGATGGCTCAGTGGTTAAAAGCTGCTCTTACAGAGGACCTAGGTTTGGTTCTCAGAATCCATATCAGGTGGCCTACAGGCTGCCTGTAGCTCCATTTCCAGGGGGTCCAGAGCCCTTTTTTGACCTCTATGCACATACCTCATCTTAATCAGTGTTCTGTTACTGTGAAGAGATACCAGGACCACAGTAGCTCTTATAAGAGAAAGCATTTAATTGGGGCTTGCTTACAGTTTCAGAGGTTTAGTCCATTTTCATTATGGCAGGGAGCATAGCAGCACCCAGGCAGATGTGGTGCTGGGGAGGTAGCTAGAGTTCTACACCCAGATCCTCTGGCAGCAGGAAGAAAGAAAGCTACAGGGCCTGGCATGGGCTTTTGAAACATCAAAACTCACCTGCAGTGACACACTTCCTCCAAAAAAGCCACACTCCAACAAGGCTATACCCATACCAACAAGCACATGCCCTTAATCCTTTCAAATAGTGACACTCCTTAATCTAATCATTCAAATATATGAGCCCGTGGGGGCCATTCTTATTCAAACTATCATACACCCCCCCAACACAAGTATAATTAAAATAAAATTAATCTTTAAAAAGCAAAACAGGGTGAATGAAATGACCCTCATCTTGTTTAAGTCACTGGTGATAGAAATTCAGAATAGGTGAAAGTTAGAATTTGTAAAATATATTTATCATTTTGATGAACTTAGCAGTTTCCAGAGCTATTTGCATATTCTTCTGAGGAATCCTGTGGTGATAGTAACAATAACATTCACTTTTGTGTGTTTTACAGTGAAATGTGTCAGCATTTTGGATATCTTCATAACAGAAATGGACTTTTTTCCCTGACTGAGGTGTGATGTATGAAATTACACCTGAGCAGGAGATAGCCTAGTGGGTTTTAATTTGAAATAACCATGTGTGTATTCAGGTTCATCGTAATATAGGTTATTGCAACTAACCTTTAAGAAATAACCACCTGTTGACTATTTCTGTCGTATTAAAGATTATTCAGAGGGGGCTGGAGAGATGGCTTTGTGGATAAAATGCTTGCCATGCAAGTGTAGGAACTGACTTTGAGTCTCCAGAACTCATGTGAAAGCTGGGTATGGTAGAGGGCTTCTGTAATCTTATCATTGTTGTAGAGATTACAGGCATGGGTGACCATGTCCCATTTATGTAGTTAGTTTCATTCATGTAAACAAACATTCTACCCACTGAGCTACTCTGCTAGTCTCAATAAAACATTCTTTCAAAGAAAAATATATCTTCCCAAAAGGGAAAATTAATGAAAACAATGCCTTTGTTACATGTCTAACAGCTAGCTTAATGAAATAGCTAGACTCTCTTAAGCAGTTTTGCACTTAGACTGTTAAGACAGGACTTTTTAAGTGTGTGGACAATATCCAACCTTACGAGATGCACTGTACCAAAGGGAGGATGCATCGTAATGACTTTTCAGATGCCAGTAACAATTACTCTTGAATAATCTTGTGTGTGTATATACCGAAGAGGGAGAAGGAGGGGAAGAGGTAGAGAGGAGAGGAAGAGAGAGGGACAGGGGGATAAGGACAACTTTGGGTGTGAGTCCTTGCCTTTCTTTGTTTAAGACAGGGTCTCTTTGATGTTCACTGCAGTGTCCTCCAGGTTAACTGGCCTGCAAGCTCCCAGGGATTCTGTAGTCTCCACTGCCCACCTCCCTGTAACAATGATAAGATCTCTCAGTGAGTCTGGAGCTCCAGTTTCTGCTAGGCTGGCTGGCCAGTGAGCTCCCAGTGTCCTCTGCCCTGCCTTCCATCACTGGTATTAGACATGAGCTGTCATGCCTGGCTTTTCAGGTGTATGCTGCAGCTCTGAATGCAAGTCATCATCCTTGAACAGCAAGATGGAACCATCTTCCTAGTCTGTGATTATTATTATTAATTTTTGTATTTTTATTGAGAATAGATTTTCTCAAACAATATATTCTGATTATAGTCTTTATTAATTAATGAGTTAAGACTTTAGACGTTAGTTTTAATTTTTACTACATTTAAATGTGTATAATTTGCACTTAAAATAAAAGCTCCTGGGAGGCCACTGGGATTTAATGTTTGAGAATTTCTGGGTTAATTATGCCCAACCATAGCACTTTAAAACTCTCTGCGATTGTTTTTTAGTGCTGTGTGTCACTGTTAACCTTCTGTGAGTTTATCTTTTACTTCTGTTGAGTATGGGAAGCTTGCCTTGGACAGCTCTCAGTCTCACTTAATTGTTTTCATTTCTAGTCTACTAAGAGTGGGAAATCAAACAACTTACTCAGTCTACTGAGAGCAAAGCAAAGTTCCTTTGAGACAGGACCTTAGGCCTTTTCTGTGAGAGAAGAACAGAGGCTGAGTGTGGACTTTACGTAAGACAGGGATGTTTTCTATTCTCTTTGTGTACTGAGAAGTGAAGCTATCTGTGTATGTAACGTCTTACTAAGTGGCAACTTATGTAAAGTTTCAGCTCTTGATTAGAAATGGCATTTAAATGTATGTCTTAGAAATTGTCCAGGGATCTTGAGATGCCAGTTTGTAATCCAGATTATACAATTGGAAGTTTATCTTGGCTTCCAAATGAAGACCAGCCTCTCACAAAGCCATGTAAACTCTAAAGTGTCTCAGCATAGAGCCTTAGTTTCATCTTGGTTAGAAGGAGTAAATTAAATATATTTGTAGCCAGATACATAATAGGTACCTAACAAATATTTGCTACTATTTTCATAGTTTAGAAAAATATAAGTAAATAGGTAAAAAATCTGCATCTTAAAAACCTCAACAGGAAACCAATAAAGCAGTTTTGGTTTAAGTTGTCCATTTTTCCTAATCAGACCAAGGTATGACAGTTCCTATTAATTTGTCAACCTAATTATTTGTACATAAGTTATTTGTACATGGAGCAATTAGCAGTATTTGTTCAATTTAATCAACATCTGAGCTTTGCACAGTAATTAGAAATCTTCATTTTTCTTTACTGTTCAAAGGGCCCCACATTTTCTGAACAAATGGAAGAGACATTTCTTACCACTTCCCCCACTTTCCTACCCCTTCTCCCATCTGATCCTCAGAGAGAGTAAGACCTCCCCTAGGAAGTCTACTAAGTCTGTCCCATCATCTCCTTGAGGCACCAGCCTGATTTCTTTAGAACCTAAGAGCACCAGCCTAGGTGTGATACTGCCCACAATCAGCTGGGCCCTCCCCGACCAGTCACTAATGAAGACAGCACTCTACAGGCTTACCCACAGTTTGATCTTAGAGGGACATTTTCTCAGTCAAGGTTCCCTCCTCTCAGATGACCCTGTTTGTGTCAAGTTGACTTAAATCTAGACAGCACAGCATCCTTAGCTGTCTTTCTCAAATGTTTTATGTGGTTTTGGTTTTTAGGGGATGAAGAGTTTACCAAGGAGATAACAGAACTGTTTGCTCAGCTTCATGTGTCATCCAGACCAGAGAAACTTGCCAGGGTAAGTTAATTCACTTTGGAGATTTTCATTAGAGTAAGTTACTCCATTTTGGTGATTTTCATTATCTTGTTGGTAAGATTTTAATGGGTAGTCAGGTGTGGTGGCACATGCCTATGATCCCACTACTTGGGAGGCTGAGGCAGGGGGATTGCAAGTTCAAAGCCAACTTGGGCTGCTTACCAAACTTTGTCTCAGTGTCCCCAACACATATAGTATAGTGGATAATGAACATAAGATTGTAATTTCCTGGCCAGTGAGATTGCCAGCATGAAGGATATGTTCTTTTTTGTTGTTGTTTGTTTGTTTTTTTGAGACTGGGTTTCTCTGTGTAACATCCCTGGCTGTCCTGGAACTCACTTTGTAGACCAGGTTGGCTTCAAACTCACAGAGATCTGCCTACCTCTGCCTCCAAACCACTGGGATTAAAGGCGTGTGCCACCAATGCCCAGCTGAGGATATATTCTTGATAGTTCTAGAAAAGGATTCTATGCATTTTCCATGCCTCCTCCTCTCCAGGTTTGGAGCCCATACCTACTTCCCTAGCACATATTCCATCTTGACCTGTTTATATGGGATACTTCATTTGTTTGAAGCCTGTAGAGTTGGTCATTTAAAGTTGACAGTGCTGACAAAACTTCATGGAGCCAAATGTCAAGTGTCCATCGAATGAGGTCTCTGATCAGAGATGATGAGGTGTGGGCCCTGCTGTTTGAACCTGGAGCTCAACATTGCTTTGACCACACAATGGCTGACAGTGATTCTGCTAATGACCATTTAGAATGTAGGAACGAGGAAATCCCATGCCTGAGCCTGGTCTTTGGTGGAGACTCTGAACTGTCCTCATATGTTTGGGATAGAGTCTTATCAGAGCTCAGAGTAGGATGCTCCCATGTATTTCACTGTCTGTTGTCATGAGACACTGTTGTCATGTGCTGCTTCCTGCCTCTGCGTCCACCTCTCCCAACCCTGAACAATTCCAGCAGCAGTCAGCAACAGGCATGCATTGTTGCTTGGCTGCACAGCCATCTTTTATCCCCTCTCAGCAGGTGAGGAGTGAGAGGCTTTGTGTTGTGTCCCATGAGCTGGCCTGGGAAGATGATGCATTTCCCAGCATGCGCTAGGCAGCTTCTAGCATTCAGGCCTCTGGCAGTTGTTACATCACTGCGACTGAAATTCCTGATGTCAACAGCTCAAGGGAGGAAAGACTAGGTCTATCTAGCTAATGTTTTCAGAGGATCTTAGTCTACCATAGTGAGGAAGGCATGGCTGTTCAGTCCTGACCTGGTGCTGGCTGCCAGGAGTGTGAGGTGGTGGCTGTTCCTATGGCAGCAGAGTGGCCTGGGCCATAACCTTCAGAGTCTGGACCCTAGGAACCTTCTAGGCCCCACCGCTGAAAGACTTCACAGCCCACCATTATAGTCCCACTAGCTGGGAACTGTGCTCCAAATATGAGCCCTTAGGGGACATTTCAGATTCTAAGCATGACATTGCTTATAGCATATTGGAAACAACATCAAACTGAGGAAAAAGTTGCAAATCAGTACAAAAGCATTCCTGTCCATTCAGTGTTGACACGCTGCTTCTGTTGCTTAACCACATGTGCTTTTACGTGTACTTTCTCTGTAGTCACATGCACCTTGTTGTTCTTGTAGCTGTTTGAAAATAAGTAGGAAGATGTGGCTGTCCCTTTGCATAACCACAGTACAGTTGTCACTTCAGCACATTTAACATTAACGACAGACTTTGATTTTACCTCTTCTCCATATTTGTCAGCTGACTGTATTAGTCATGTTCTGTTGCTATGAAGAGACACCATGACCATGGCAAATCTTATAAAAGAAAGCATTTCATTGCGAGTCTGCTTACTGTTTCAGAGACCATTACCATCATGGCAGGGTCCATGGTGGCACACATGGTGCTGGAGCAGTAGCTGAGAGCTACAACCTGACCCAAAGGCAGCAGGCAAAGAAACTGGGCTTAGCATGAGATTTGAATAATCAAAACCCACCCCAGTGACACTCTTTCTCCAACAAGGCCACACCGACTAATTCTTCTAATCCCAGTGACTAAGACTTTAAATATATGTGCCTATGGGGGCCGTTCTTTTCTTTTCTTTTTTCTTGAGATTGGGTTTTTCTGTGTAGTCCTGGCTGCCCTGGAACTCACAGAGATCCACCTTCTGAGTGCTGGGATTGAAGGCGTAGGCTGCCATCAGCCCCCAGGCTTTGTGGGGACTATTCATATTCAAGCCATCACACTGACTTAATGGTGTTCTTCCTAGCTGGCGTTTTCTTCTAACCTGCAGCCAACCAGTGACGGAACTGGATTTAGTTGTTTTGTGTTTAGACTCTTTTAATATGTAGTAGTTCCTCAGCCCTTCTCTTTCATGATGTATATATTTTTGAAAAACAGAACTTCCCCTACCCATTCTAAAAGTAGAACATTTCCTGTCTGCTACCTGCCTTGAACGTTTGTCTGATATTTTCTCTCTTTTGTTAGGCTGTACATTCCTAGGGCCAAAATCCTGTGTGTGTGATGACTTGTCACATCTGCAGGTGACATATGCTGGCCTGTTCCTTACTGGGGATATGTTGTGTAATTCTCTGTAGAGTTACGATTTATTTCCTTTTGCTACTGGTAGGCTTCTGTGAAGAGACAGGTAAATATCCTACAATCATCTTACTCCTACTCATATTTTCCTTCATACTGTTTTTTTTAATGTTTGGTGCTGGGGTTTATTCCCTGAATTTAGCTTATGTTATAATTCTTTTGAGACATATAGCCCAGGCTGACCTTGAACTCATCCTGTAACTGTGAAAGACCTTGAACTTTTGATTCCCCTGCCCAGTGCTAGGAATAGGGCCATATATTACTATCCCTGGTTTATGCAGTGCTAGAGATAGAACCCAGGGCCTCTTGCATACTAGGTACTCCTACCAACCGAGCCCTATTCCCAGCTGTTATGGTCTTGATTCTTGTACACTGGTCCTTACTGTGAAAATGGTAAGACAGTGTTCTCTAACTTGTCTGTATTCTATACTCTGGTCTTGAGTTTGCTTAACATATTGAATATTCCTGCTTTTATGCTTTGATTAATTCTGTTGGTTTTTATGTGTGTACATATGCTTATGCTCGTGTGTTTGTGAATGTGGAGGTCAGAGGTCAGTATCAGATATCTTCCTCAGTCATTTCTCCATTTTATTTTTTGAGATAAGGTCTTTCACTGAACCTAAGGCTTACCGATTTGCCCAGCCTAACTGGATAGAAGGCACCATGGGTTCTGTAGTCTCTGGCGCACCAATGCAGGGATTACAGACATGGATCACTGTGCCTGGCTTTTGCCAATATAACCATCTCCCTAGCGTGTGCCCCCTCCCCATTTCTTTTTTCAGCAACAGAGAAGTTAATATTTAAATAATGAGAAGAGAAAGCTTATTTAGATCTAGATTGGATTGTTCTGCAGGTTCTTTGGGAGTAGTCCTCTTCTGAAGAGGAGGGAAAGAGCCCTGGAACAAAGGGACACCAGGTTCTCTTCAGCTTGTTCATGTTGTAGCCTTGCTTGCAGCACTACCCAGGCCTCTTACTGGCTCAAGTCCAGTGACATATCTGTAGTTTAGTTGGAATGACCAAGGTCATTTGTGATCTTTCCTGCCTGGCAATGCATTCTTTATGTCTGTATAAAATTAATTAAGTGGGTGCCTTTATTCAAAGGAAGTAACTTTTCTGTCACTGTGATAAACACCATGACCAAAAGCAACTCAGGAAATACAGGGTATATTTCTTCTTATAACTGTTACATTCCATCACTGAGGGAAGTCATGGCAGGAACCTGGAGGCAGGAACTGACTTTGGATGCCATGAGGAACTTTGTTTACTGACTTATTCCCCCTAGCCTTCTCAGCCTGCTTTATTATACAACCTGGGACCACTGGCCCAAGGGGTGGCACCACCCACAGTGAGTTGGGCTCTCCCACACCAATTATTAATCAAGACAATACCTCAGACTACCCATAGGCCAGTCTTATGGAGGCAATTTCTCAGTTAAGATTCCCTCTTTCCAGATATGTCTAGGTTTGTGTCAAGTTGACAAAACCCAACCAGCACAGGCATCAATGTGCTTCCTCTACAAATGATAAAAAGCCAAGTGGGGTGGTATAAAAAGAGAGAAGCTAGACCATTGAGGGGCAGCAGTGCTTCAGGTGTGGCTCTGTGAGGAGCCTGTTCCTTTGGGCTCTGCTATGTTTCTCCTTGATTTTGTTTTTAGGACATTTTTGTACATGGTGTTAAGGGACCATTAGCAGCTTTGGGTTGGTGGCTTTGCTTTCTTAGTAATTTTACTGATACTGTTTGTTTGTTTTAAGACAGAGTTTCTCTGTGTAACATCCCTGGCTGTCCTGGAATTCACTCTGTAGATGCTGGTTTCAAACTCACAGAGATCTGCCTGCCTCTTCTCCCGAGTGCTGGGAATAACGGCATGCACCACCACTACCTGGCAATTTTATTGATAGTGTATGAGTTCATTGACCCCATTGGATTACTTTCTTGTCCTCAAACCAATCATTGAGAGGACAGAGGGATTAATGTTTCTTGTACCTAATTGAAATTATGTGCTAACCCTTGGTGCTTGAGGATATAGGCAAGACTCATCCAGAATACATAACCAAGAAGAATCTAGAACCCAAACCAGTATGCTACAAAAATAAAGGAGATACAGTGGTTCAGAAACATACATGTCAGGGACTAGATACGCAAACCAAATAGACGTTCTACCACTGTCCTTTAGTATGCTTTAGGAGACTAATATAGTTGATTTCAGTGATACAAGACCAGAAAGTAAGCACTGCATTTAAGTGGTTTTCTGGAAGTGTGGAAATTCAGAGAAAGATTGCTTTTGTGTGTTGTCTCCTGGAAAGTCATCTTACTGGACACTTACTGAGAAATGAGATTGAAAAGTAGTTAGATCAAATGAAGGAATATCTAGTTGATGGGAGACCATTGACCAAAAGAGGTGTGTCTAAACTCTCTACTACTGTTTTAGTGTTGTGGCAAAACACTACAACCAAGGCAGCTACTAAAAGAAAGCATTTAATTAGGGGCTTGTTTACTCACAGTTTCAGAGGGTTAGTCCATGACCGTCATGGAGGGGAACATGGCAGGTATGGCACTGGAGGGACACACATACATACACACACACACACACACACACACACACACACACACACACACACACACCATGGGCCTGGTGTGGGCTTTTGAAAGCCCACTCCTGATGACATACTCCCAACAAGGCCGGATCTCTTAATCCTTCCCAAACAGTTCCACTGACTGCCGACTAAGCATTCAAACATATGCACCTATGGGGTCCATTCTCATTCAAGCCACCACAAGGAAAATGGTCAGCTCTGTATGGTAGGCATATCACTGGCAGTATTATGACAGTGAAAATAAATTTAGGATGAGCTGCGTCAGTAGCAGTAGACTAGTCATGCTGTGGCTCTGAGTGCAATGATGGTAATAGAGGAGGAAGGTGGGGGCAGATTGAAGAAAATTCTTGTCCAAAATCAGACTGTTCGAAAAATCCTAGTTGGCCTCTCTTGAGTCATTAGTATAGAACGGTACCTCTAAAGTTTGGCTAATGAAAGGGTAGATTAGGGCTAGGAAGATTAAAAATATTCCATTTCCTTTATATGCTGTATGTGGAGTAGTTGCAGAACATCAGTAAGTGTGTAGCAGGCATTTTGGGTGCTTTAATTTTTCCAGAGAAAAAAGTTAAGATTGGAAGTAATGATGTAGGCAGAAGCAGCAGTAGGGTGAGTGGGGGTGAGATCTGTAGAGTATAGGCAGGCCAGCAAGATCAGTTTTACACAGTGATAGTCAGGGTGGGGGAAGAACCAGAAGATCATGTTTAAAACAAACAAACAAACAAACAAAACAGAAAAACTTGAGAAAGGTTCATTATTGGAAGGAAAATCATGGAGTTTGTATGGAGTGACCATCTTCACATGGTAAGCTAGTGAATTAGTACATGTGACTGTGTGTGTCTGCCATTGACTGTGCTTTAAACATTCAGGCAAATGAGAATGAACGTAGGGCCCATTTTTATGAATTGTAAGAATGGTTGAGGTTGTAGATGGTGAGTAGAAGTCTGTGGTGTGAGCAGGATTGAGTAAGGGATGTGGAGGACTCTGGGCTGGGAGAGTGCTCTGGCTTCCAGCCTCAGAAGCACATGTACACGTCTGATATGTGCCCCAGATGCATGCACTCTACCTAACATAAAGCTCAATTTTAGAGAAGCCATAGCACTAGGGGATTCACAAGGAGCCATTGAACAGGGTTCAGTGTAGGAGTTTATATCTAGTAAGACAAGAGCTTACAAGCCATATGGTCTGTTATGGTAGGAAGAGTTTGTTTTCTAGGGTGCTGATGTATTTATTATTCCTAGTAAGAACTGCATTGAATTACTGAATTATCTTCCTTATTTAGGCAAGAAATACAGCCTACGAATGGATCAGGACATCTCTGGCTAGGCCAGTAACAGAGAAAGAAGAAGGGGAAAAACAGTTGGAGACAGAAAATACTGAGGAAGTCAAAAGAAGTTCAATAGAGGTAACCAAAGCAACTTAGTTCTTTTTAAAAGATCAAATTGAGGGGGTATCGGATGACTCACTTGTAAAGTGCCTGCTGCCCAAGCATTAGGACCTGAACTTGGGTTCCCAGCATCCACATGAAAGTCTGGGTGTGGTATCACACAGTAGTAACCCAAGCTCAGGAGGCTGTGGGAGTGTGAAGGCAGGAGGAATCTCCCATGTCTCACTGACCAGCCAGTCTACCTGTATCAGTAAGCTCCAAGTTCAGGGAGAGACCCTGTCACAAACACTAAAGGGAAGAGTGATATAGGGAAGGCATTGGACATGGCCCTCTAGACTCCATACACGCACACACACAGGTGAGTGCACACCTCCTCCCCCCTCTAAAATAGAGATTGACATTGCAGTTGAGATGAAGGTCCTTCCTTTTATTTTGTTATGTTGGTATTAATAATTTCAACATTATGATTCAGGATGGTAACATCTTAGTTCCAGGCTGTAGGAGAGGAATGAAGAAACGTAGTGAAGTGAAGGAGAGAGGGAAGGAGGGAGGGAAGTTGCTTGTAACTCACAGTAAGTTGTCAGACACTTATCTCAGTCCTTTGGCCATACTTAGTTACATGGTCACAGCCAGCTGTTGTTATAAGCCAAGCTGTGAAAGGTCCCATACTGTGGAAGAAGAGAGGGTCTGTTAAACAGTGGCCTTTCGCTTTTCTACTTGGAAGCACCAGGGTCTTCAGTGTGAGAAGCAGGGTGCTGTCATCTCCTCTTACAGCAATAAACAGCAACAACAACAATAGACTATTTCTTTGATTTTTAGGATATCCATGCATTTGCAATCCGGAGCTTAGCAGAGTTGACTGCCTGCTCAATCGAACTGTTCCACAAAACAGCAGCGTTGGTTCTGCATGGCCAGAAGCAGGAGGTGACCGCCTTAGAGAGGAGTCAGATGCTCTCCCAGTAAGTATGATGGTCTGCATCTCTCAAAGGGAAACTGTGGAGAGGATTTTCTTGCTGCTTCCAGGTTTTAGAAACTTGCTTTTTAAGAAGATTCTGCTCCCATTGCACATGGGTATGTGTTAGGGTATTGTTACTGAGCAGTGACAATAACCCTGCCCATCTCATTAATGGATTTGTTCTCTGAAAACTATTTCTTTGTATATTGTTAATGTCAGTAGGAGGGGAACTTGGCACAAATAACAACAGAAAGCAGTCCTAAGTACCTCAGCTCTTAATTACAGTTATTAGTTACCAGTGCTCATTGTATGCCAGGCGCCATGCTAAGGGGTTAACATGTATTAGTTCTAATTCTTACAGCAGTACAAAGGTAAATGATTAGCACAACTTTACAAATGGAGGAGCTGTGGACCCTGGGCAGTTAAAGGATGCCACCCAAGCCCGAAACATAATTAAAAAAAAACTTTGCTGATTTTGAACAAACATATTTCAAAGTTGTAAAATATGAATAATTCCAGTAGGAAGGATAAACCTAAGCCTAGTAGTTTCTAAATCTAAATAGACATCCTTTTGTATGTGTGTGTATGGGTGTGTATGAAAGAGACAGTCAGACAGATGCATAGAATTGTGTACACACACGGAGGAAGGGAGGGAGGGGAGACACACATACACACACACACACACACACAGAGAGAGAGAGAGAGAGAGAGAGAGAGAGAGAGAGAGAGAGAGAGAGAGAGAGAGAGAGAGAGAGTCTTGTTGTGTAGCCTAAGCTAGCCTCAATTTCACAATTTCTTACATTCTGAGAGCTGAAATCAGACACCTGGCCATTAACCTGACTTAGTAGCCTCCCTTAATTGCCCAGGGTTCATAGCTCCTCAATTTGTAAAGTTGTGCTAATCATTTGCCTTTGATGGCAGTCTGAGAATCTAGTGTTGTTCTCCAGCTTTCCCCATCTGCTGCATCCTTGCTGCCCTATAAGGTTCCTAGTGTTGTCTTGAGCATCCTTAAGGATGAAGGACACAGAGACCCAGAGCAGCCTATTGTGTGGAAGAGTGGTCATTCCTGCAGCTTGGAATGCCCTTCCATGCCTGCCTGATTCCTTAACCACCTGCTTCTTGCCACCTCAGGCACTTCGTCACCACACAGTCTAAAACAGCTTCTCCCACCATTCTCTAATCCTCTGTTCAGCTTTTTTTGTAGCTCATCTCACCTGAGAGAGAGAGAAAAAGAGAGAGAATGAATGTGTGCGTGTGTGTGTGTGTTTATGTGTGTGTGTGTGTGTGTGTGTGTGTGTGTGTGTGTGTGTGTGTGTGTGTGTGTGAGTGATCTCACCCTTGATTGGCCAGTTGGTTACAGCCTGTGAGAGCTGGAGCTTTGCTCGATGTTGTGGCCCATAGATGATTTTCCACAGGTATTTTCTGAGTGAGTACATGCTGAGCTGTATTTCTTCTGGTGGAAATTATGGTTAGTGTTTGGTGCTAAACTCAGTGACACTGCTGCCTTTTCTTACAGGTTTCTGATGGGGAAGTGAGCAGGCTTCTTAGGGAAAACTCTCCTAGTCAGTGTGGTGTTATGGAAAGAGATTTCAGTATTTACTTGCTGAAACATACCTCTGAGAGCCAGAAAGGAACACCCTGTGAAGAGTCAGTTAGGATAAGATCGCTAGACCCCCCAAAATATGAAGGTTCTAAGCAGACTTTTAGTACTAGGAGGTCCTGTAACTAATCTTTTGAAGCCGATTGTTATTTATAAGCTGAGTGACAGTGACCAGGCTGCTTAACTTCCTTTAGTTTCATGTTTTTCCAGCATTTTTGGAGCAGAGGCAGATGGATTTCTGAATTTGAGACCAGCCTGGTTTCCATAGTTTTAGGATGTTCAGAGTTATATAAAGATAACCTGTCTAAAAAACAGAGCAAAACATAAGCAAAAAACCCAAGCCAATAATGTCAGTGCCTGTCTAGCTTATAGTGGTGTTGAGTAAAGGAGTCACACCTGATAAGGAGAATATGCCAGTGTTTGAGCACCAGGAATTGTCACACTAGGCGTGGAAGAGCTAAGAAAACTAATGGAGGCGAGAGATGAGCAAGGGCAGGGAGCTGTTTTCACAACTCAGGCTGGAGGGACAAGAAGGCAGGGAGCTAGAAAATGGAGGGGCTGCCCCTCAGAGCCTGGAACCTGGGAGAGGATGGTTGGTTCACAAGTCATGATGAGGAAGAACAGATGACTTCTGGTGCAGTCAGGAGTTCATTCACCCAAGGAGCATCCCTGATAGGAAAAGGCAGGTAAGGGTCTGTCTCTAGCAGGAAGAAATGGGCTCTTAACCAGCACTTAACACCCTCCAAGTACCGTTGATGGCCACTGAAACCCAAGAGTACAGAGCAAGTGGCAGGGTCACTTGTGTATTTCATACTGAAACAGTGGGGGAGAAAACTGTTTCTACCTCTTATGACTTCCTTCTCCATTGTTATTAGGAGAGTGTTTAGTTTATTAAAGGAGTAGAAAAAGAAAGAACAGAATTCTTCTGATGTGTTCTTCTCTCCAGGTTGACAGTCATGCTGTGTAAAGACCTGGGCTCTCTGTCTAAAGAGTTCACCACCTGCCTCACCACTGCTGGGGTAAGAGTTCCTGCCTCATGGGGCTAATGGCTGAATGCTTTGGATATGATTTACATACCATAAAGTTCATGTTTCAGGGTACAAGTTGATGGTTGTTAGTACATCTATGTACAGAGATGTACACTTGTTATTAGAATTGTGTTTTAGGACATTTCATCACTGCCTCTTAAGTTTTCCACATAGTAGCCCTCCCCATTTCCTTCTCCATACTCCCCTAATTCTAGGCAATGATTGTGTGTTTTCAGTCTCCATAATGCTTTCCTAGTCTAAATTTTATTTCAGTGAGATCACACGTGTATGTTTTGCTAGTGTGGTAGTTTTGAAGTTGGTCCTGTTTTAGCATGTATTAATACTTCTTGTTTTTTATTAATACTTTATTTTATGGCTGAGTATACCACGTTTTATCTTTTCAGTTGATAGACATTTGGGCTGTTCCTATTTGTGATTGTTGTGAATGATACTGTCATGAATATGGTGTGAGCTGTTGTGTGAACATGTTTTCACTTTTCCTGGATAGAGTATGAGATGCAGAACTACTGGGCTTTATAGGTGAGATAGTAAATGTCAAATTGCTTCCAAGTAGCTCCATAGTTTTACGTTCTTACCAACAACATATGAAATGCGGGTTTCCCTGCATCTTTACCAGTATTAGCTGTGGTTTCTTTGTGGTTTTGATGTTTTGGTGAGTGTGAAGTGGTACCTTACTGCTGAGAAGATTTGCATTTCTCTAGTGTCTAATGATACCGAGTGTCTTTCCACACACGTCTTGGCCACTTGTGTGGTTTTGGAGAGATGTCTGATGCAGTAACTTTAATTGGGTTGTTTGGTTTTTACTACAGACATGTAAGAACTTCTTGTGTCTTACAGATATCAGTTTCTTGTCAGGTATATGATAGTACTCAGTACTTGGTTTGTTTTTAGTTTTTGCTTGTTTGCTTTTGCAGTGCTGGGATCAAATCCAGGGACTTATACATGTATGGCAAATACTCTTACCATTGAGTTATAGACCCATCTTTTGGGTTTTTTAGACAGGGTCTGTGTAGCTCAGGCTGGCCTTGAACTTGCTATCCTTCTGCCTTTGCTTCCTGACTGTTGGAATTACAGGTGTGCACAACCATACCAGGGTTCCTGTTTTATTTTCTTGATAATGTTTTATATATAGTTTAAAATTTTCAATAAAATTCTACATTCAGTGATCATCATCACATACAAGTTTGGTGTTTTAACTCAGAAGGCATCAACTAACCAAAGATCAGCTTCGTGTTTTCTTTGCTGAGTGTTGAGCTCTTATGTCTGTGATGAATGTTGAGCTAAATCGTATGTGTGGTGTGAGGGGCAGTGTACACTTTCATGGCTTTGCATTCTTCTGTCTCATGCACCACTGTCAAAGACACCCCCTTCCCCACTGAAGTCTCTGTCTTCTCTGCCAGAGGTCATGAGACCAGAGACACACGGTTTTATTCTTACGTCTTTATTTGAGTACCATGTATTGTACCATGGTGGTTTGCAGAGGAATGCCCACTATAGACTCATGTGTTTGACCACTTGGTCCCTAGGGCTGTTTTGGAAGGTCATGGAATTTATAGGATGTTGAGCCTTGATGGAGGAAGTAGGTCACTGGAACTGGTTTGTAGCTTTGCTGTTCACTTTCTGTTCTTGTGCGGCTGAGGTGTTTTCAACCAGTCTCCTGCTCTGGATGTCTGCTACTCTGCCTGCCCTGCCTTTATGGCCTAAGATTACTGAAGGTTGGTGAGTGATGTGGAAGGTGATCGGGAAACCAGTGATCACAGAGTGAGATACACCAAGGGCTCTAGAGCAGATGAAAATAACTCCACAGTGTGCATATCAGTGTTGTGCTGGCAGAGTTGCTGTGAGGCCCTAAATTTAGCATAACTGTTGCCAGGTGAAATTCTAAAGCTGGAGTTTGGACTTTTTCTCTTTGGAGTAATCCTAGACTATAACGTCTCTTCCCTCCTGTTATTTTTCTCTAACGAGCTCCTGGATTTCCTGAGTGGAGTAATTTTGTGTATTCTGTGAAGGCACTTTAAGGTGGCTACTTAACTACAGAGTGCTGACATGTTCAGTTGAAATCCATGCTGTGGAGGCTGGAGAGATGGCTCAGTGGTTAAGAACACTAACTGGTCTTCCAGAGGTCCTGAGTTCAGTTCCCAGCAACCACATGGTGACTCACAATTGTCTTCTATGAGATCTGGTGCCCTTTTTTTGGCCTATGGGGTACATGCAGAGATGTATATATAACAATATATATATATATACACTGTATATATAACAAATAAATAAATCTTTTTTTTAAACTTATTTTTCAGTTTAAATTTAGATAAGAAACAAGGTTGCTTCACAAGTCAGTTCTAGGTCCCTCTCCCTTTCCCTCCCCTCCTTCCGTGCCCTCCCCCAACCCCCTATTATCCCCTCATTTCCCCAGGGAGGGTGAGGCCCTCCATGGGGGTGTCCATAGTCTGTCATTTCATACAGGGCAGGGCCTAGACCCTCCCCCAAGAGTTCAGGGTGAGAGTGCACCTCACATTGTTGGATGGGAGTCCAAAGTCCGTGTGTATACTCGGGATGAGTACTGATCTACTGCCCAAGGCTCAATAGATTACCTAGGCCTCCTCACTGACACTCACATTCAGGGGGTCTTGATCAGTCCCTTGCTGGAACAAATAAATAAATCTTAAAAAAAGAAATCCATGCTGTGTTTGCATGAAATGAAACTCGTAAGAGGCCTCCCTTCAGAACAGTTGAGGGATTGACTGCTTGTTTTATAATTGTTCTGAGTTTTTTAGTCAAACTTCTAACCACCCTTCTAAAACGAAGATTATTTTTCCTCTTGCGGTTTATCTGCATGTGTATTTCATTGTTTTAATTTCTTTGAGTGCGCTGTCTTGGTTTCTTTTCCTGCTGCTGCGATGGAATACTGTGACCAACCCGGTCTAAGGGTAAAGTTACAGGATGAAGTCCACCATGGTGGGAGGTCAACCAGCAGGAGCTTGAGGCAGCTGCTCAGTGTCTGCGGTCAGGAGAAGAGTGCAGCGGATGCGTGTGTGCTGGCCTTCAGCCTGCACTCCACTCCAGCAGCGCAGAGCCCCTGCTCAGGGGGTGCTCCCACCAGCGGTCACTTCAGCCACTCATAACCCTCACAGGCTGCTCGGAGGCCCGTCTCCCCGCTGGCTCTGGGGGGCTGTCAAGTTGACAACATATGTACAAACACCCCCAGTTTCCTCTCTTGTCCCTCCTAGTGCTGGATGATCACCCATCTCTTAAATAGCCCTGCTAATACTGCGCTACCTCTCGCACCCTGTTCAGAAGCCATGGTAGAAGGAGGGAACTGACTCCTGAGACATTGTCCTTTGTCCTCCAGACTCATGCTGGGGCTCATGAGTACCACGAGAATATGTGCCGCATGCGCACACGCACACACACACACACACACACACACACACCCCAAGGAACATTAACAGCAGCACCCCTCCCCCCAAACTACAAAGCAGTGGTATAAAAAGGAGTTTATAGCACTTAAAGTTTCTTTCTAGAGGCGACACTTTGCCCACTTTTCCCTTCCCAGGTTGAGATAGTCTGTGCCTTTGTTTACCTTTGTGTGTTTCAGAGTGGGAATCTATTCTGCCTGTTGTTTTCTTAAGGCGCACTGTGACAAAACTCTCTCCTTTATTCCAGGTCAGAGAAAAGGCAGATGTTCTTAATCCATTAATCACTGCAGTGTTTCTAGAGGTTAGTAGTAATGGTTTTTACATCCCTGACTCCAAAGGCATTATGCATTATTTTATACATCCTTAATTTTTGCTTTTTAAAAGCCAGATTGCAGTTTAGCCCTGCTGATACAGAGATGTGATGTTCATTCCCTACTCAGCATTTGGAAGGTGTAACAAAACTGCAGGGTAAACTTGGATGGAAGAAGCCATAGGCTGTCATTACTCAGTCCCTACTCCTTGACAACTGAGGCACAGTGCTCAGTAATGAAACACCCGGAGACCAGTTGCTGAACACGAATGGCTGACACTCCCTCAGACAAGCACTGCTTCCTGAAGGACTGGGCCTAGTGCAGAGGTGTTAGGAAACAAGGCTTGTGGCCATTTCCAAGTAAGAATCCTCTGACGAGTGTCACCGGAGCTTGCCATATCCTTGTCAGTCTGTGAGCATCATTAGGACTGGAGGGTTTAAGTCTCCAGAAGAGGGGCTGGAGAGATGGCTCAGCAGTTACTGAGCACTGGTTACTCTTCCAGAGGACCAGGTGTTTAATTCCCAGCACCTACATGACAGCTCACAACTGACTGCAGCTCCAGTTCCGTGGATCTAACACTCTCACACAGACATACATGAAGGCAAACACCGGTACACATAATGTCTCCAGAGGCGGTGTGAGAGGATGCCATAGTTGATCAAATTGTCACCAGGGTGGGGTGGTTTCTGGAGTCTGTGCTTTCATAACTTTGACAACAGAGACCTGTAATGGCCTGTTTAGAACACACTTATGTAAAGCTAGTGAGAGAAATATGTTGATAATTGGCTAGGTTTTAAGTATGAATTGAGGGCCAGTGAGATGGCTCAGTAGATAAGTGTGCTTGTTACCAAGTTTGACAACATGAGTGTGATCTCCAGATGGAAGGAGAGAATGAGCTCATGAAAGTTGCTCTCTGACTTCCACATGTGTATTGTAGCATGCATACTCCCACATACAAGTGCACACACAAGTAAATCAGAACCAACTCGACTGTTTAGTTCAAAATAGTTTTACGTTACTGCTAAGGAACTGCTCTTAACCTTCAGCCATACAGCTTTGAGTAGCTCAGAGCTCTTGTGATCAGTTAAGCTATTTTTAAACACTAGTCTGTGGTTTAGTTGTTGGCAGAGTTGAAAGCACTTTGCAGCCAGGAAGCCTCCCTGGGCCTCCCTCAAGTGCTCTGTTGTCCTCCGTTAGAGATACCCTTCCTGGCAATCTTGTTTTAAGTGCAGGGAGCTGTAACTAGATGATCTCTAAGGTCTCTTTTGGCTGGAAAGTGTGTTATCAAGTGTCCCACTGAAGTTCTGATAGGACTGTCAGCCATTGATAAGTGCACAAAAGGCAGGCTAGGCTGTCTTGGTGTGAGCTCCCTGTTGCCATTTGAACAGGCTATTTGTACACACAAATTTGAAACACTCTTGTCCTTGAAAATGTCCACTTCTGTTAGTGTAATGAACTACCTGTTGTTATTCTGGAAGCGGGGAGCTGGTCAGATAGAGGTCAGATCTGCACTCTGGGCGTGATGATTCTCCTCTCATGTCCACTGACCAGGCAGACCTGTCCGTAACTGTTCTTACTGAGTGCAGTCTTTGTCACGGCATTGAATCATGGGAGAGCCATGGTGGTTCAGCTCCTCCTGAGAGCATGTCAGTACTTGACTACAGTGTGGGAACAGAGTGCACCCATGCAGTTATGGGCTTGGCAATCCTTGAATGCCAAGTTTGAGCAGCCACAGAGCTGCCTTGTCTATTGGGTGAGTTGGGTGCTGCCATTCTTTTTGGTGTTGCCGTGTTACCTCCCAGGGCTGTCTTGTCCCATATCATACGAGTGCAGTAGCCAAGCCTGTCCTTTGTTTACTTCACAGGCTATGGCTTCAGGTGATTGTAACGTTGTTTTCTTTTTGATAATTTTTCAATCCTGCCAGGCCTCAAACAGTGCCTCCTACATTCAAGATGCCTTCCAGCTTCTCCTGCCTGTGCTACAGATCTCTCTCATCGAGAGCAAGACGGAGTCACCCAGGGGGGAGCCGCCAGCCCAGAACCTTCTAACAGAACACTGAAGAACCAAGAAGAGTTTGCCTGAGATCATAGAGAGCAAGACGGAGTCACCCAGGGGGGAGCCGCCAGCCCAGAACCTTCTCACAGAGCGCTGAAGAACCAAGAAGAGTTTGCCTGAGATCATGAAGGCCGAGAAATCCAACTTTGCTCAGGGAGCCCTGTAGCCAGAGCAAGACATTACTGAGTGCGGGCTCACAGGGGCACAGGCTCGCAGGAGCACTGGCTTACAGGGGTGCTGGGGTGTCTGCTTGTCTATGTGGCCTAGGCACTCAGGTCCTACACTGCTCTTCCCAGTCTTAGAAGTAATAAATTATTTGAAGAGACATATTTCAGGGAAGTCAGTGGGACATTCTGGCAAAAATACTGGACTTTCTTAGAAATATCAGAAAACACTAACATGTTTGCCGTGGATGTAATTTGTAGCCAGTAGGTTGTTAACAGGAGAGAACAAAACCTTAATTTGGTATCCTGGGGTTTACAACATTCTTTTCACCATGGACTTTCTTTTTACTGGAATAAAGTCTGTGGCTTTTACAGAACTGAGACTACATAAGCCCCAAGTGAGATGGTCAGACAGCATCTTCTGCCCTTTCATCTTGTAGATGTTTGGCATGGACGAGAAACTTGTAGCTACATGTATGAACCACAACAAAGTGCCCTTTGGCTCCAAATGATTCCTTTCCCAGCGAGACCCCTGCTCAATTCGGTTCAAGACCATGCAGTTGCATGTCTGCAGATGCTCGAGTCTCTTCGGGCTGCATTGTGCACACCCTACTTGAGGCTGTATTCATGTAGGATGCATTCTTCAGTTGCCCAGTCCAGAGGGGGAGGAGGCTCTCTTGGTGATAAGGTTTTTGTTGAGTCCTGTGAAAATGTTTACTTACAGCAGGATTTAGCCTCAGACAATACATTTCCCCTTCATTATTCCTTTGTTTTAATGTATTTGTTAGTGCACACTGAAAAAGGTTCAACAGCTATCCTATACTCTTAAGCCTTCTTTGCAGTTTTCAACAATTAAAAGCTATTTTGATATCCAGGCTTTTTAAAAATGTTTCATAACTTGTGGTTTTTTTAGTGGCTCTGGTAACTTGAGAGCCCTGCCCTTCATCTTTGGACACCTTTATAATAAAATATGATTATACCTATTTGTAATTGTGGTATTTAAAAACATTAAGGCCGGGCGGTGGTGGCGCACGCCTTTAATCCCAGCACTCGGGAGGCAGAGGCAGGCAGATCTCTGAGTTCGAGGCCGGGCTGGACCGATAGCCTCCAAAACAATACAGAGAAACCCTGTCTCGTAAAAACAAAAAAAAAAAAAACAAAAAAAAACAAAACCCAAAAAAAACCATTAAGAATTAAAATAATGTTGCTCATTCTCATAAAAGACTTAAAAATGAAGCATCTGAAAAACAAGGATATTCCGAGGAAGACGGGCCTCTTAGGTAATATGTCTTTAAGGCCCTTGTTGAATCTGGGAGGGGGAGCTTTGACAGTGCACGCACTGGTGACTCCAGCTGCTGTCTGCTTCTCACTCACAGTCTGCTCATTTCTGCTTATTGTATTGTCTGGAGAAATCCCATGCCCCTAAGTGTTTTGTGTCTGTCACTTCCCAGAGCGTTAGGGGACATCCACGTGGTCTCTCAGCACTTGTTGACCTGAAGGTAAAGAAGACTGATGGGTGCTGCATTCACACGTCAGTGCTGCACTTGCCACACACTACCTTCCTCTGGAGACCTGAACAGAAGGAAGCTGCAGTGGCCCGCACTTGTGTTTTCTGTACACATTGCTGCTGCTGTGTACTCCAACTGGTCCTAAGGTGGAAGTCAAGCGGCTGTGCATGCACTGGCATTCTTGAAGTGTTTTTGTTCCTGTTTGAGAATTTCATGCATGTGAACACATGGACGCTGTATACTCCCAGCCCCATTTCTAATTCTCTTAGACCACTACCACAGCATCCCCTCACAACTTCATGTCCTTTACAGAGATTATCTTAAATAACCCACCGAGTCCCATTAGTGCTGCCTACATGTGCATATGTGTGGGACCCTCCACGGAAGCCTGGGCAGTCTACCAGGGGCCTCCCCCTGAAGAAAACGGACTCATTCCTTCCCATCCATTTCAGGAAGTTGGCTGGCTTGATCTTTTTCAGGTTGTGTGTAGACCATCACTACTGCTGTTAGCTCATGAGTGCAATGCTCCTGCTGTGTCTGGAAAACACTTTCTCAACAGTCCTCCATAAACTCTGCTCATACAATCTGCCTACTCTTCCATTCTCTTTGTTCTCTGAGCCTTGTGGGGACGGAGTGTGATACAGGTCTGACATCTATAGCTGAACATTCCACTATCACTCATTTTCTATACATTGACCTAGATAGGCTTAATTTTATTTTTTGAGACAGAGTTTCATTCTATATCTCTGACTTATCTGGAGCTTTAGACTAGGCTGGCCTTGAACTCAGAGATCCACCTGTTTCTGCTCCCAAGTGATGGGATTAAAGACATTCACCACCATGTCTAGCTTATATAACTTTTGAAGACATATTTATGAATAGAATGAGCAGTCTTATCTGAGTAACTTAACAGTGACTGGGGATTTCAACTGAGATTTTTAAACCCAAAAGACTTAAGTTTTCATACATCTGGAACCTCTCTTGCCTCTCATGTGGCACTGAATAATTCAGGCTGCATATCTGTGAGTTAGGGAAGTTTCAGAAATTGAACATTCTGAGTATGCTGTTCTCAGTAAATCAGGATGCGCTTAGTAAGGGTGTCACTAAGGGTTCTAGAACTTACTAAGAGTAATAGTATTAGTAAGAGTAATAGACCTTATAGAATGAACCTGTCTTTATAGAAAGGGGGTTTATTAGGATGACTTACAGGCTATGGCCCAGCCAATCCAACAATGGCTGGCTAGAAATGGAAAGTTCAAGAATGGACTGGATGCCCAGTCTGTGAGGGTGGATGTCCCAGCTGGTCTTGATTGTACACTGGAATCCCGAAGAAGTAGGCCGTAATGCCAGTGAAGAAATGGACTTGTTAGGAAGGCAGCAGAGAGTGGGCAAGAGAGCAGAAGCTTCCTTCTTTCATGTGTGCCGGGAGTGGCCCCCAGCTGTTGACAAGTTCCAGACAGGAGGTAAGGAGTAGGCGAGGGAAGAGGTGAGACAGGCCATGGTGGTGGCAAGAACCTTGCAACCTGACTGAGTAGCAGTCAGAATGCTTTTTTATTTATACAGAATTCAGTACACAGGGATAGATTAATGTTCTGGACACATGTGTAACTTTTTCTGTTGCACATCTGGGGTCATAAGTCACTGATGAACCGTGACAGAAAAGTTATCTTTTACAGTCACTTTTTCTTAACTTTAGTCGTCATTGATAAACAGAGTTATCTTTTATAATCATTTTTACTCATCAACCCCATAACCCAATTTTTAAGAATCTAGAGACATATGACAGCTTATTCTCAGGCTGGTAGTCTTGTGTCTTCAAGGACACTAGACAGAAAACCTTCAAGCCAGCCTGGGGAAGACTGCCATGTCCACAGCATGTCTTATTAACTCTTGATGGTCAGAGTGTCCAAAAAAATATCTTTAGGCCAAAGCTGCTGCGGTTTTATTCAACTTCGGCATGATACAATGTTTCACATTTTATATCTTCATGGAATTCATGTATCTATTGAATTTGTTTATATGTCTAATCCCGATAATCTGTTGTTCCTTAGTTAGTGGCTCTGTATGAGTTAACTTTTCTAAGAAAGGGGGTCCTGACTCCTCATTCTTTTATTGTCTTTCCATACCATTCTTTGCCCATCAATATAAGTCCCTGTGTTGGACAGAGGTAACTTTAGCTAGTCTAACTCTTTGCTGTATATGCCGTGTAAGAGCCCAGTGTAGAGTGGGAAGAGACTTGCAGTCTGAACTGCGGTCAACTCTAGCCCACCAATCTTGTTGACCTTTAAAAATGTACTTTGATTATCTTGTTCCTGAGTAAGTACAGGGGCAGATGTTTCAAGAACATCTCAGAGCCTCATAACGACGAGATCTCTGGCTTCTTTATGTGCGCCACAACTTGCAAGGAGTAAGAAAGACTTTCAAGCAGATAAGAATTATCTCCCTAAAAGTGGAAGGAGTAGTATGTTCAGGATCTTCCTGGGGAAGCTTAGAAGCAATACTCCTGGGAGAAGTATTTGTAATCGATTCACACGAAATTTTCCATCAATCCAGTATCCCCAGATTGTACAAATATTAAAAGCTCCTCAAGCATGTAACATGTGGAAATCAAAAACAAAAGTAGCACGGCGGCCATCATGTCGCTCAGCCTTGCTGGATCTTTGTCAAGCAGCTGTGCTGGCTTTCTGATCCCATTAGATATGGCTGCACTGCATGTCCTTACATATGCTTCTTGCAGAAAGTATGGCCTAAATTAAAGGTGTGTCTTCCCACTTCAAGATCCTCATTAAGGCGTGTCATCTCCCAGTTCAGAAGACCTGGATTAAAGGCATGTCTTTGTATCTCAAAGAGCAAAAAATCCTTCACAAGTGTAGTGAGAGATCTACCAGAGGCACCTGTGGCACTGACCACACCCATTTGGGCGTCGTCACAGGTGCATACATGAGCGTGTGGGATTTGGTCTGGGGTTGGGAACAGGCTTGCGCTCTCTCTCTCTTGGTTCTGGTCGGGTCATAGAGGGCAGCTGGGCATTGATCCACAGGGTTGGGACTCGTGGGCTATCCATTTCTCATGTAAGTGATTTCTCCCTGAATAAAATTAACCTATATTATCCTAGTCCCATGTATCTTAATCTGTAAATCCACACACAAGTGTCCCCTCCATTTTTGGAATTTAGTTGATTCCAGATGTAGTCAAGTTGACGACCAAGAAGAGGCATTACAACTTTCCAACTCACTTTGGTATTCTGTTGCAGGGTCAGAGGTATGCCCAGTGATACTTGTTAGCCAAAAGAGAAGGAAAGGAAAGGGGACAGAGAGGAAGGGCAGGAGCCAAGCAATGCATAGAAATGACTAGTTTAGAGCGTTCTGTCAGCACACGGTAGGGACAGCAGACATCTGGAATGTGTGGTTGAATGGTGTGACTTCCAAGCCAGAGAAGCTGAAGCCTTCTAAACGGCAGTGTCAGGAGGCTCAGCTGGGCCCTGTACCCAGGTCTTCTGATGTGTTTGTACCTCTCTGACATTAGATCCCACCTGACTTCAGCTTGTGTGCAGACACTGGGCTAAGTGTTGAGGAAACAATATAGAGTGTATGTGTTCTGTTCCAGATTGGTTCATGCTGGTGGCTCTGGCTGAGTCTTCTCCAGAGGAAGGCAGGGGGCAGCTGCTTGTAATGAACCACAGCTGAGTTGGATGAACTTGTCTCCAGTCTGGTGGTTTAGTCAGGTCAACATCGCCGATGTTTATAGATACACTCTGATGTTTATATATACATTCCGATGCTTACAGATATACTCATCACACCGTTGTTTCTGCCTTAGCTGGTTTTTGAAGCAAGGAGTCGATAACTCCTGAACCTGGGACTACAGAATTATCAACCACAAACAGCTAAGAGGAAGCTTACATAGAAAGCACTTTGAATAGGAAGTACTATGGAGTGTACTTTAATTCTCATAGCTACTTGGGGGCCAGGGTAATGGCACCCCCAATTTTGGAGTTGCAAGACTAATGCAGACAGATGCATAAATAAATCTCTGCTCCATGAGAGCCGGGTGTTGGTGGCGCACGCCTTTAATTCCAGCACTCGGGAGGCAGAGGCAGGCAGATCTCTGTGAGTTCGAGGCCAGGCTGGACCAACAGCCTCCAAAACAGAGAAACCCTGTCTCGTAAAAACCAAAAAAAAAAATCTCTGCTCCCTCATTTTCCAGCTCTATGGAGAGTCTGCAATGTGACAGTGTCCCAGACACTGTCCTGAATATGTATGATGTACTGCTTACACCATTTAATCCTCACAACCACCCTGCTGTTAACATGCCCATTTATAGATGAAGAAACTGAGGCACAGGAGAGTTCAGTCATTTGCCTGAGGTCACAGAGGTGTCAGCGATGGGGCTCAATCCCAGAGTTTCCACTTGCCATGACAAGGAAATGGCAATTCTCCGCTGTTATCACGATGACCATGAAACAGACTAAGAGG